AAAATAAGCTTGAACAGTGCTGCGCAAGGGATAAGGGGATATTCTACGTTTCGTTATTATAAAATAGCATCAGAACACCTCTGGTTGTGGGAAGCAGGGTTTTTTTTTCCCCCAGTAGGAACTCAGGGGAACTGAATTCCCTTACCTTTAAAAAAATTAAATAATTGATTTTTTGTTAGTTTGCGGGGGCTGTAACAGATATACACCCCATGCCTGAGCTGAAAATCTGTCTATATCCGTAAATGATTCTTCAACATCAACTTCGTTGGACTGGTCATGTTGTGTGGATGCCTGATTATTGTCTTCAAAAGCAACTACTCTATTCTGAACTTAAAAATGGAAAGCATAATGATGGTGGTCAACAAAAGAGGTTCAAAGACTCTCTCAAGGCAATTTTTTAAAAATGTAACATAAACACCGACAATTGGGAAACACTGGCCTGCGAGTGCTCCAACTGGAGAACAGCCTTGACCAAGGGTGTCATGGGCTTTGAAGACACTCAAACTCAGGATGCAAGGGAGAAACGTGCTAAGAGGAAGGCACGCATGGCAAACCCTCACCGTGATCAACTCCCGTCTGGAAACCAACGTCCCCACTGTGGAAGGATGTGTGGATCCAGAATTGGCCTCCACAGTCACTTACGGACTCACTTCTAAAACCGTGTTCATAGAAGACAATCTGACTCGGCTACGAGTGATCGCCAAAGAAGAAGAAGAATATCTGTAATCAATAAAGTTGTGGTCATTTCTAATCTAGATCATTGTCTGCTTGAGTTTATTAAACACACCTTACGTTTAGCAGCTGCCTGGGGGTTGGGGTGGCACTGCGATTGGGCCCGCAATAAATGAACAAATGAACTTGGTGGTGAGTTCCCCCACTTTTTTTTTCCTCAGAAGAAAGGCACCGGTGGGAAGCAATATATAAACATAAGCTAGCTATCTGTGCAATGATGGGCTTCAGGGTTTCATTCATCTGGAAGAAGTAACAATCAGGGGCATATGCTTTGGGGCATGGTTTTGAAACTTGGTCAATGCACAGCAAGACAGTATTATGTGTGCAATCATTTGAAGGCTGCAATCCTGTGCACACTTACCTAGGAGGAAGCCCTATTGGAAAAAGTAGGGTTTCTTCCTATTCCACAGAGGATTGGACCACAATCTTGTTTCTATCCAAGAGAGTGCTTTAAAATCATTAACAATGTGGCATTAAAATCTCCATGTCTGTACCCTTTAAATGTAAGAACCCTACAGGTGTCCACCATCCATTTCTACCTTGTTTTCTATCATGTAAGATGCCACAACACAAATCAAATGCACTTCCTTCAAATTTATAATATGTAATTTATAATATATAATCTACATATTAAATTGAGCTCCATCCTCAATCAATTCCCCATTGAAAACAGCCTATAAGCTACCAACCACTGTCACATCCTTTGACAGTGAGTTCCATGAATGAGTTACAGAAGATAAGGGTCAGCGTTTAAAGGTGCAAAAAGAAAGTTATCCATAGCTTAAGAAGCGCTCAAGCCTTCATAGCCTGTGAACATTCCACCCCATCTTAAATTGATAATAATATCTCTGGACTTTTGGTCAGCTTTAACCCAGTGATTTCTGTTATCTTCTTAAACACCATTTCCCAGAAAAATTGTACATATTTACACCCCCACCACATGTGAACATAATTCCTCGCTATGAAGGACTTGCTCACAAATTTATTGACAGATGCATGGATTAGGATAGCTAGGAGGTGGAAGGGGCAAGCAGGATATAAAATGGAAGAATGGTATAAAGAGGTGTGGGATATAGCTATTAATGATAGATTAACATGTGCCATTAAGGTAAGATTGGGAATATTCAGGAGAAATGATTTCGAAGAGATACAGAAGGTGTTTGTAGAATTTGTACTGTTAAAACAGAAAGGGTGAAACCATCGTAAGAGGTGTTGAAATTTTGGGAGGTTGGATAGTTACAATGGAATGGTTGCAGGGGTGGGGTGCACATTTTGATTCTTATTTGTGATTACTCTGTCAAAATAATAAATAAATAATAAAAAAGAAGCGCTCAGGCATGGATAAAGACCCTACCCTACCTTTGACGTGCTTTGACCAATGCCAACTAACTGTCCTGGATGGCGCTGTGATTCCTCTCCTGTATGAGATGCAGCCATCCAATTCAATGGAGCTGGGATGAGCATCACAAAGAAAATCCACCTATTTGCAGAGATTGTCTTTGATGGACCGGGGCAAAAAGCTTCAGAACAGGATGCAAAGGACTAGGTTCTCTAATGCTTTAGCAGCAGAGATGGTTTATTATTTTAAAATGGAGGGTACAATTTTTAGAAACCATTTTTTTTTATATCAAAACCACCCAAAGTGCTAAGTATGACAGTGTTATAATAGTTAACTTACAAAACAAAACAAAAAAGTCACTTTTAAAAAAAGCTATAAACATACCTTTCTGTTTACTTCGGGCTAATAAGTACAAAGAGAGCACCCTGTATCTAAACAATAGCAACCCTTCCCATAAAATAATCATTAAAAAAGCAAAGAAAATCAATATTACTCTTTACAAAGTACCATAGAGAAACGTCATGGGAACAAAATGGAGAGCCAAGCTGACACCCAAGAACCGGGCTGATGCAGCTATCACAGTTCCTTGGAGAGGGGCGAGGAGCCCCAACTCTACATATGTAAGTCAAAGCCATGTATGACAGTTTTCCTAACCTGCTGCAATCCAGGTGTTGCTGGACTCCGTCCCATCATCCCTAGCGATTGGCCATGCTGGCTGGAGCTGCGGGGAGTCCAACACCATCTAGAGGGCAACATGTCGGAGGGAAAAGCTGGTCCATAGGCTTGTCGTCTGTTGAAAAACAGTGCTAAGGAGCAGGTCCCTGGAACCATTGGGTCACCTACTTGATTTTTCTTGATATCCTTCTCCAATACAGTGGTACCTCTGGTTACGTACTTAATTGAGAGCCAGTGTGGTGTAGTGGTTAAGAGCGGTAGTCTCGTAATCTGGGGAACCGGGTTTGAGTCTCCGCTCCTCCACATGCAGCTGCTAGTTGACCTTGGGCCAGTCACACTTCTCTGAAGTCTCTCAGCCCCACTCACCTCACAGAGTGTTTGTTGTGGGGGAGGAAGGGAAAGGAGAATGTTAGCCGCTTTGAGACTCCTTAAAGGGAGTGAAAGGCGGGATATCAAATCCAAACTCTTCTTCTTCTTCTAATTCGTTCCGGAGGCCCGTTCTTAACCTGAAACTGTTCTTAACCTGAAGCACCACTTTAGCTAATGGGGCCTCCTGCTGCTGCCAGAGCACGATTTCTGTTCTCATCTTGAAGCAAAGTTCTTAACACGAGGTACTATTTCTGGGTTAGCGGAATCTGTAACCTGAAGCGTATGTAACCTGAAGCATATGTAACCCGAGGTACCACTGTATTGTCCAAATATTTGCTACATACCCTGCAACATTTCTCCGATGAAAATAGGGACATCCTATTCCATACCCTCCAAAATATCTCCGATGAAAATGGGGACGGTCCAGTGCTATTTTTCTAGAAAAAGAGGTGCCGGAACTCACCGTGAATGCCTCCCTTGCTCTCTTACATAACGGCAATGGTGCCCACCTGAGAGGTGCCGGAATTGAGTTCCGGCTGGAAAAGCAAACAAACCCTGGGGACGTCCTATTCCATACCCTCCAACATTTCTCTGATGAAAATAAGGGTGTCTGTCCTAAGGAAAAGTGGGATGTCCCAGGATCAAATCAAAAACCAGGACAGCTTCTGTAGATCTGTGACTGTCCCTGGAAAATTAGGGACACTTGGCGGGTCTGTTGCTATTACCTTGGGTGGCAGGTAGTGTCTTTTTGGAGCGGAGAGAAGGGAGAGTTGCAGGCAGAGGAGTTTTCCTTACCTTGGAAAGAGGAAAGTGCTTTCCTGAGTGACGGCAAGGAGGACGATTTTCAACAGTCAAAGCAAACAAACATGAATTTAACATGGCATGCTGTGCAACTTTTTTATTTAATCCAGAAGAAACACCAGAGCTGGGGGACTTAACTACCTGCAGCTGCTTTGGGGCTACAACTCCCATCATCCCTGAACATTGGTCATGCTGTCTAGGGCTGATGGGATGTGGAGTCTTGTAACATCTGGAGGTCCACGCAGGTTCCCTACCCCAGATTTGCAGAATGCACAGGAATTCCCGGAACAAAGGAATGATAGCTACTTTTTCTAGCAGATTTTGAAGCACAGAGGCAGCTGTTGAGGGGGGCATTTGACCCTTTCCCTGTCAACTCCACATAAGATGCAGCCATGGTCCCTTCCAAATTTATGGCAGATCAACACTGACAGGTTAAATAGCCTCTGGAGGAAGGGCAGGCTATAAATTTAACAATGAATAAATAAAACTGTCTGTACACCTTGTCCCAAGTTTTTAAGACAGTCCTTCTCAGGAAAGGATAATGAAACCAGGCTTCTCTTCACATGCAGACACGTGAAACATGTTAATTCTACCACAAATCAGAGAACCGGCCATTGTGGGTTACCTGGCTTCTGTCAATTTTTCAGACATGCATTACCAGCTTCCCGCAGCTACCTTTGACCAGACTACGTTTTCCCATCTGGGCCTTCTGACTTGGGTGCTTGGCCACAATTGCACTACAAAATGGAGGGCAACTCCCTCCCACCCCTCAAAGAATGAAAACAATAACATTTGACCGTTGCGATGCAAGTTGGGTAACCGAAAGACGGAAGTCAGCTGAAAGAGAAGAGGAGGAGGACAAAAACCCAACGCAAAACACCGAACCTAGTGCATCTTGAAGCACGCTTGCGATTAAACAGATACCAAGGACGCCTGAGCTGTTAAGCGTGTTTTAGCTCCTATTTTTAATAAATCCGATTCAGCCATTAATAAAATCCTGCAGCCCAACTGCAAATAAATAGGCTCGTCCGTTCCGCGATCCACCTCTCCCCCCATCCCTATTCGCTTGCAGTTTTGTTCTGTTCTAAGCAAACAGGCTCCTCTGATTTGCCACTAGAGTCGTCTGGCTTTCTCGCCTCTTTGTCTTCTTGCTCTTCTGTCGGATTTTCCAGCACAACGCGCTCAACGCCAGCAAAAGGAGTCCGGAGGACAGTATGACCAGCCCAAGCACGGAGATGATGGATCCATGGGAATTGAAGCTGTACGCCACCGCTGTGACCACCACCCCGGCGATGAGGATCACCACCCCAAACGGGATCGTGCAGCGGTAGCAGGAGAGTTCGGCTCCCCCCGTGGCGGCTGTCAGCCGGCACTCGCTCACCAGAGGCACGGCTGTCACCCTGCAGTCATTGTTGTTGCACTTTTCCAGCGTTGCACACTGAGGACATTTGGAACCTCCCAAGATCTCTTTGATGGGCTCGTCGGTCATCTTGCAACTTCTGGTTGGATTTTGCACGGCTGGAGATAGACCGGGTGCTGTTGAAAACGTTTCAGCTGTGGAAAGGGGGGGGGGAAGCATTGGAATGGGTGAGTGTTTGAGGGTGGATTTTAGAATGATTCACGCAGACAAGAGGGTGAAACTTTGGAATTTCTTCTCTCTGTAGGCTCAACCGCCAACAACAAAGGCTATGCACACACTAGCAACTTGAAATGGTGAAGTACGGTCATTTAATTCACTGAAATTGTAAGTGCTTGCATGCATTACTATGTGCTCAAATTTGGTTGGCAACTGAATTCTAGAGAGTTCTCTAGTAGTCCTCATGGGATTGGCTAACATTGGTCACATGGGACCATCTAGTGAAGGAGAGACGCCATTTTATGTGAAGCAAGATGACTGTGTTTTAGATTCCACTGTGAACACTGCTAAGTTGCATAGTGTGAGTGCTTCCTCTCGGTTTCAAAGAAAGAGAGCGAAGCTGCAGGAGAAAGTAAAAGAGGAAATCTCTCATAGGAGCTGCAAGGCATGGCCTAACTGAGATACAGAAGACTGAGTGCTGAGCTCTAGAAAGGAAGGAAAAAACGGTTGTTTAGAAGCTAGATGAAGAGACTTGTAAGCCCATGCTTGGATGAGCATGTGACTATAAATATTATGTTTTAATTCATCTAGAACAGGCATAGGCAAACTTGGCCCTCCAGGTGTTTAGGGACTACAATTCCCATCATCCCTGACCACTGGTCCTGTTAGCTAGGTATGATGGGAGTTGTAGTCCCAAAACATCTGGAGGGCTGAGTTTGCCTATGCCTGATCTAGAACGATAAGTTTCTGCAAGTTAAGTTTTTGAAAGTCTGGACATTGGTTCAATTCATTTTTGCTACCCTTAATTCAACAGAAATGCAGAGAGGTTGTGTTTCGAGTTTCACTTTTATGTTGATAAAACATAAAACATACGGTTGGATGTCTCCACCCAATTGCTATAGGCCTCAACTTAACCAAAGCTTACTTATTTGTATCAAATGGAAGCTGGTTTGATTTGAGGGCTGGTTTGATCAAACAGCAATATTTCTCAAGAAACCACAGGATAAATACGGATTGTGGCTAACATCCTGTGTCCACAGCTTCAAACACTGTTGGTGTCCCACTGGAGCCAGAGTAAAATACATACACAGCCCAACTGGAGGTTCATAGTTCCTTGGCAGTTATCCTGATTTTTAAAATTTCTCTCTCTCTTAATTTATGAACATATATATCTGCATACCAAGGGAGATTCTCTTCACCTCGGATCTATAGAAACTAATACCTTATTTTTGCTTCAAAACTGATAAGCAGAAGTTACCTAAATTTGTCCTTAGAGCGATAGATACATTCACATTTCTTAGACACATATATCTCAGCAATCAACAGTTTTAACACTCAGACGCCATTTTAAAATGCAGTCTACTTCATCGTTTAAATTAATGAAACTGAAACCCTTATGGCTTCTATATAAGAAGAGCATAGCTATGAAACACAGGGAGGTTATTTTTTTTACGCAATAATACATCCGATATTGATGCATTTTAAAAACGAAGCCTATAAATACTTCACAACCTTTTTTGCACACTCCCATTTCTCATCAATCTTTGTTCTCGCCTGTAGCATAGTAAACTGCCATCACTACCTAAATCATCAGATATCGCCCGCTGGTCAGGAATAGTTGCCAAATAAGCAAGACCAAAGATTCATTTGCAATTTCCTAGGGCCCAGCAGCATTCAAGCTTGCTTAACTGCTTATCAAGCATTCCTTGCACACACACACACAAAAACCCCCACACAAGCTCATTTTCTGCAAATATTAATTCTGATTTCAGATTCTTTGATGGTGAGTCACAGAGTGACTGTGGCGCTTGTTGCAGCTGCTTCTCTGTTCACTTCCATTTTAACTTGTTCTCAGAAAAAAACCTTTTAAGGCCATTTTGTTTCCACTTAAAAGTGGACTTCATTAGAAAAAACACACCATCCTTGATGAAAAATCTTGCCTTTCTGCGTTGCTACGTGGGATTAGAGAAGGAGCGGTGATCTGACCAATATTAGTTTTTGAGAGAGTTTCTTTCTTTCTTCTTGTTAAAAATGTGGCACGTGGTGGACTTGTAAAATAGCAAAGGCCTTCTGGGAAATGATTTAAAATGAACTGGGGAAAAAATGTTTAAAATAACTTTAAAAAAAACCAGAGCCCTTCTTGTTAGGTATAACAGGAGAAGAATTACCGAAGGATAAAAAAGTACTGTTTATCTATGCGATGACAGCGACAAGAATGTTATTTGCTCAGGGATGGAAAAAAGAAAGAACCCCGTCGAAAGAAGAATGGATAATGAAGATGATGGACTATGTGGAAATGGCAAGGCTGACTAGGAAGAGGATAATAAATTCAACAAAGAATGGCATAACTTTATAGAAATGTTAGCAGGACTGATATAGCACTTGTAATTTAAAATGGCAAAGGATAAAATGGAAGTGCAATAATTTAGATAAATGCAATTAGATGCAGTAAAAAAAAGGAAGATAAATTTTGGAAGCCAAGGGAGGGGGGGAAGTCTGGGGGTTCAGGGAACCCCACAAAGGTACTGATATGGACTATGATTTAATGTAAACGTGTGTGTGTGTAAAAAAATTGTTGTTGTTGTTTTAAACTTTGGGGGGAAAAATAGAAAAAAAATGTGGCATTGTTCTGGAAGTTCTTGCATGCTTCTTTCAAGAAAAATCCTGGCTAGTTTCGAGGTTCACAACAGATATCTAACTAACCCTCTCAACCATTCCACAATCAGAACAAATTTTCAATTGGGTTAACTGAAGACGACTAAAGTCATGGTAAAACAGACCTTATTGCACCCTGACAAGTTTCTTCATCACAGTGAGTGTGCTGTAAAATGTATTGCTGCAGGTGATCACCACAAGCTATGTGCCATGTAGATTTAGCAGGCATCAGAGGGAATCTAACTAAGACTTTTGTTAGCACAGAATTCTATTTTGGACAGTTTGGGTCCATATACCATGTAGTTCCTTTGCCTAGTGCACACACCTCTTTTCGGAGAATGGATTGCTGCTCTTAAAGCAACATGATCATCAAGTCTGTTGTCCAGCTGCTAACTTTCAATGGGCAAATTCAAGGGCCCCATTCTTCCTTTTTAAGGTAATTTGTCTTTAAAATGAACTGGACACAGCATCCCTTTAAATAGAGGATGCCTTCAAGCAGAGGACTGTGCTCTGTAAAGAAGAACACTGAGCAGGCACCCTTTGTAGGGAAAGATGGCTTTCTATCACTTATCCCTCCATTATGGAAACGAATCTCCAAGAATGAGGCTATATGAGAGTCAGGCCTGCAGCCGCCTCATTATATCAACTAGCTCACACTTGCAGTGCCATGAAAGCAGCGTTCCCCATTATGCAGCTATAACATAACAGGTCTTGAACATGGGACAGTTCAGTCAGCAGAGCATGAGATTCTTGATTTCAGGGTTGTGGGTTTGAGCCCCATACTGAGGTAAATATTCCTGCATTGCAAGAGGGCTGGTCCCTTCCAGATCTACAATTCTATGGTTCTACGACAGCAGTGCTGAGGGATGAGAGACCATGCAAAAAAGGGGGGGAGGGGCTTCCTTGGCATAGGAAAGAATGTAGGAAATGCATTTGAAAGGGGATGCTCAACTACAGTGGTGCCGCGCAAGACGAATGCCTTGCAAGACGGAAAACTCGCTAGACGAAAGGGTTTTCCGTTTTTTGAGCTGCTTCGCAAGACGAATTTCCCTATGGGCTTGCTTCGCAAGACGAAAAACGAAAACGTCTTGCAATTTTGTTTCCTTTTTCTTAACACCGTTAATACAGTTGCGACTTAACTTCGAGGAGCAACTCATAGAACGTGGTGTGGTAGCCTTTTTTGAGGTTTTTGAAGACTTTGGTGATTTTTGAAGCTTTTCCAAAACTTCTTTTGCAGCCATTTGGTAAGTTAAACTTTTAAAAAATTTTTGGGGGTTTTTGGATTTTGGGTTGGGGTGTTTGGAATTCAAGAACTTGGTGTTGGGGAGGGGTTTGTAAGAATCTGGAAGCTTGTGTGCTTTTTTCCTGCATTTTTATGATTTTCTGTGACCATTGGGCCACTCTGCTGTTTTTTTAAAAAAATTCTGGATTTGAATTTCTGTGTGGTGGGTGGCTGGGGGAACAGTTGGGGAGGGGGTTCTTCAGCAAGAAGCAAAGAGTGGAAGAGGCACCTTCTTCGAGTTGTCCCCCAGAGTCTTAGAAAATGTACTGTACACTTTGTTGATTTTTAAATGTTTTTCTGTCATGTTTAGAAACTTAATTTATTGTTCCTTCAATTTTTGAAATGCTCTTTACAGTATGTGTGACTTTAAAGAGCACTTAATAAACTCTTGTTGTACCAAATTTGGCTTTGTTTGGACTTTTTTTGACCATAGGAACGCATTAATTGAATTTCAATGCATTCCTATGGGATTTCGTGCTTCGCAAGACGAAAAATTCGCTAGACGACAAAACTCGCGGAACGAATTAATTTCGTCTTGCGAGGCACCACTGTACTGCAATGCACTCTACGTGGGACTACCTTTGAAGGTGATCCAGAAACTACAGCTAATACAGAATGTGGCAGCTAGACTGGTGACTGGGAGTGGCTGCCGAGACCACATAACACCGGTCCTTAAAGACCTACATTGACTCCCAGTACGCTTCCAAGCACAATTCAAAGTGTTGGTGCTGACCTTTAAAGCCCTAAACGGCCTCGTTCCAGTATACCTGATGAAGCGTCTTCACTCCCATTGTTCAGCCTGGACACTGAGGTCCAGCGCCGAGGGCCTTCTGGCAGTCCCCTCATTGTGAGAAGTGAGGTTACAGGGAACCAAGCAGAGGGACTTCTCGGTAGTGGCGCCTGCCCTGTGGAATGCCCTCCCACCAGATGTCAAGGAAATAAACAACTATCTGACTTTTAGAAGACATCTGAAGGCAGCCCTGTTTAGGGAAGTTTTTAATGATTGAAGTTTTATTCTGTTTTTAGTGTTCTGTTGAGAGCTGCCCAGAGTGGCTGGGAAAACCCAGCCAGATGGGTGGGGAATAAATAATAAATTATTATTATTATTATTATTATTATTACTACTACTAGTAGTAGTAATAGTAGTAGTGGAGCTATCCAGGCATGGATGCAACATATAAAGGGCACCTAGAGGTTGCCCATCTGATTCTTCAATAGATACATCTCTTGGAAATCGCTTTATGGTAGGGGTGCCCAAATTGTGGTATAGGTGCCACAAGCCTACGTAGCTTAAAAGGGTCTGTGGGCTTAGCTATGTCATAGAACTAGACCTATAGATTCCTGCGTATCTTTCCAGAGTTACAGCTCAGGAGGCTAAAGGCATCTCAAAACAGAATTGCTTTGGGGTTCCACATATAGTTCTGGTGGCAGTGACCCAGTAGTGCTTTATCACAGGTAAAGGTAAAGGGACCCCTGACCATTAGGTCCAGTCGTGACCGACTCTGGGGTTGTGGCGCTCATCTTGCTTTATTGGCCAAGGGAGCCGGCGTACAGCTTCCGGGTCATGTGGCCAGCATGACTAAGCCGCTCTGGCGAACCAGAGCAGCGCACGGAAACGCCATTTACCTTCCCGCCAGAGCGGTACCTATTTATCTACTTGCACTTTGACGTGCTTTCGAACTGCTAGGTTGGCAGGAGCAGGGACCGAGCAATGGGAGCTCACCCCGTCGCGGGGATTTGAACCACCGACATTCTGATCAGCAAGCCCTAGGCTCAGTGGTTTAACCCACAGCGCCACCCGCGTCCCTTAAGTACGTCCTATTCCAACAACAACAACAATAATAATAATAATACCTTGCCCATCTTGTACCCTACACCTGTACGTAAGTTCAGTGCACTTACTCCCAGTTAAGTAAGCAGCCCGAGGATCTTTGCAAATGAGAAGGGACAGGGAAATCTGTGTGCTTGTGTTTGGTAAAGCTCTGTCTTTCGACTCCAAAGCACACACACCTGCTTTCCTGTCCCTTCTCCTGCTGTTTTGACAACTTTTATTTCCACAAACTGCCCAGGCAGAGGGGGAAAAGGGGGCACACGGCACCTATTTGGGATGGCATATTACTTTAGGTAGCTCCAGCTTAGCGAGTGCTAGACTTGACCAGGGTTGCCTGCTGTCAACAGAGAGATCCTCCTGTTTGCTTCTAGAATTAAGAAACAGCAAGCAACCAACACACCACTACCTGTATCCACCTACCTCATCCATAGGAAGTCCATGATGGCTTGGCTTGGTGAGCAAAGAGATAAACTTGAGGGTATGTTCTGGAAATCTTCACTGGGTTTCCCACCACCACCTCTTCTCCCAAACACCAGAAATAAACCGATTTGATGTGGCTTCCTTTTCTTTTTAAAACCAGACAGAGGACCAGATAGAGAGGTGACCTAGGAAGGAAGAAGATGTGATGTTAGAACTATATAGTTATATGAAGGTAAAGGTAAAGGTACCCCTGCCCGTACGGGCCAGTCTTGCCAGACTCTAGGGTTGTGCGTTCATCTCACTCTATAGGCCGGGAGCCAGCGCTGTCCGCAGACACTTCTGGGTCACGTGGCCAGCGTGACAAGCTGCATCTGGCGAGCCAGCGCAGCACACGGAACGCCGTTTACCTTCCCGCTGGTAAGCGGTCCCTATTTATCTACTTGCACCCGGGGGTGCTTTCGAACTGCTAGGTTGGCAGGCGCTGGGACCGAGCAACGGGAGCGCACCCCGCCACGGGGATTCGAACCGCCGACCATGCGATCGGCAAGTCCTAGGCGCTGAGGTTTTACCTTTTATCATATGTGGTGGATGTGCAAAGCAATAAAAAAATTCTAGGAGATGATATATAATGAAATAAAAAAATGTTTAAAATAACTTTTGTTTAAAAACCAGAAGCCTTCTTATTAGGAATTACAGTTACTGAGATGCCAAAGGATCAGAAAAGACTGTTTATGTATGCAACAACATACATACATACCACATCTGCTATTCGCCCAGAAATGGAAGGAAGAAATAACTACAATCAAAGAAGAATGGCAAACCAAGTTGATGGACTAGGCTGAAATGGCAAAATTAACTGGGAAGCTTAGAAATGAAGAGGACAAAAAATTTAAAAAAGAATGGGAAAAGTTTACATTCTATTTACCAGAACATAAGCAGGTTAAAATGTTAGCAGGATTTTAACCACACTTGTAAACTGACGGAAAGCATGGACAATTTGGAAGGATAAAACTTGGATAGTATTGATACGCAGTTGTAAATATTACCATTAGGACCCATGGAAGGGATGGGGGAAGTCAGGAGATTCAGAGCAATCTCGATATTTGGATTTTGAATTGTTTCCTGTTGTATGTTTACATTTTCTAAAATCAAACAAAAATATATATTATAAAAAGAACTCTATAGTTATATGAACCATTCAACAGCATTCCATGTAAGAAAAGTTCTGTTGCTTCACAGTGGGTAGGAAACACACCCACTTCTTCCTTCAATCTCTCCTTCCTCAAATGTGGGGTTCAGGGATTTTCCGTAATAAAATACCACTCTGTGAAGGATTCTCTGGAATCAAATATTGCCAGATCTCCCTCCCCACCTACGGGAATCACCCTGATTCCAGGCTATTTCCAAAACTCAGCAGAACATTTTCCTCTAGAAGTTCATAGAACAGACATCCATAGCTCCACAAGTTCCATTGTTCATGTTGCGTGGCCTGCTATTGCCTTCCTTAATAATAATAATAATAATAATAATAATTTATTATTTATACCCTGCCCATCTGGCTGGGTTTCCCCAACTACTCTGGGCGGTTTCCAACAGAATATTAAAATACAATAGTCTATTAAACACTATAAGCTTCCCTAAACAGCGCTGCCTACAAATGTCTTCTAAAAGTCTGGTACAGTGGTACCTCGGGTTAAGTACTTAATTTGTTCCGGAGGTCCGTTCTTAAACTGAAACTGTTCTTAACCTGAAGCACCACTTTGGCTAATGGGGCCTCCTGCTGCTGCCGCGCCGCTGGAGCAAGATTTCTGTTCTTATCCTGAAGCAAAGTTTTTAACCTGAAGCACTATTTCTGGGTTAGCGGAGTCTGTAACCTGAAGCGTATGTAACCCGAGGTACCACTGTAGTTGTTTTTCTCCTTGACATCTGGTGGGAGGGCATTCCACAGGGCAGGTGCCACTACCTAGAAGGCCCTCTGCCTGGTTCCCTGTAACTTGGCTTCTCGCAGCGAGGGAACCGCCAGAAGGCCCTCGGAGCTGGACCTCACTGCTCACCATAAAGCTTTCCAAATAATTCTTCCCACAAGCAGCCTTATCTGACAAAGAGATACAGCATGCTTCCAAAAGACTTGTTTATTGAGGGTTCAGCCTGATCTGTTTTCAGGGCAATGAGGCCACGCTGTCTATTTAATAAGAATTCACTCCGATTTGTATGATGACGGCGCTTGAAAGCGAGCTCTAACTCACACTTCCCTGAGCACACCTCCACTGTGCAAAAATCTGATTTTTTGAGGGGAGTAGCAACAGCTTGGAGGCAATCACTGGGAGAAGAGGGAACACGGGTGATTCCAGCGTTGCAGTGGGCTGGACTAGATGGAGTTGGGCCCCTTCCAATTCTACAATTCTATGATTGCCCTTTCCCTAACCACACATCCCTGCAGTAGTTGGAATAAAAGGTTCGTATTTCCCTCTGTGCAGGAAGAAGCCCAGCACTGGAGTAGGACTGGGAGATATCTACTTATCAACATAGCAATGTATCACCAGCTAAACATTGTGATATAGGGATATATCACTTTGTCTGAAATAAGGATGGAATTATGTAGAGGCAAACACAAACCCATTATGAAATTGTTTTTCTTTCCGCATCCATACCCCATTTAGTGGCAGCAGCAGGAAGGTGCAGAAATAACACTGAGAAGGTTATTTTCTTTTTAAGTTACTGAAAATAAATGTGGCAGTCTGTTGCTGGAGAAGACCAAGTGTCCCTATTTTCCAGGGACAGTCCCAGAGTTACAGAAGCTGTCCCAGTTTCTGATTTGATCCTGAAATGTTCCGCTTTTCCTTAGGACATCCCTATTTTCCTCAGAGAAACGTTGGAGTGTATGGAGCTATGCCACCCACGAGCCAAGGAGATTAGTAATTAGAATCATAGAATCATAGAGTTGGAAGAGACCACAAGGGCCATCGAGTCCAACCCCCTGCCAAGCAGGAAACACCATCAGAGCACTCCTGACATATGGTTGTCAAGCCTCTGCTTAAAGACCTCCAAAGAAGGAGACTCCACCACACTCCTTGGCAGTAAATTCCACTGTCGAACAGCTCTTACTGTCAGGAAGTTCTTCCTAATGTTTAGGTGGAATCTTCTTTCTTGTAGTTTGGATCCATTGCTCCATGTCCGCTTCTCTGGAGCAGCAGAAAACAACCTTTCTCCCTCCTCTATGTGACATCCTTTTATATATTTGAACATGGCTATCATATCACCCCTTAACCTCCTCTTCTCCAGGCTAAACATGCCCAGCTCCCTTAGCCGTTCCTCATAAGGCATCGTTTCCAGGCCTTTGACCATTTTGGTTGCCCTCCTCTGGACACGTTCCAGTTTGTCAGTGTCCTTCTTGAACTGTGGTGCCCAGAACTGGACACAGTACTCCAGGTGAGGTCTGACCAGAGCAGAATACAGTGGCACTATTACTTCCCTTGATCTAGATGCTATACTCCTATTGATGCAGCCCAGAATTGCATTGGCTTTTTAGCTGCCGCGGTCACACTGTTGGCTCATGTCCAGTTTGTGGTCAACCAAGACTCCTAGATCCTTTTCACATGTACTGCTCTCAAGCCAGGTGTCACCCATCTTGTATTTGTTATTGTATTATTATCTTGTATTAATTATACAACCTTTAGAAGACATCCGAAGGTAGCCCTGTATAGGGACATTGTTTAATGTGTTATTATGTTTTTATATATGTTGGAAGCCGCCCAGTCAGATGGGCGGGGTGTAAGTAATAAAATTATTATTACTAGTATGGAATAGGACGTCCTTATTTTCATCGGAGAAATGTTGGAGCGTCTGCTGCAGAGGAAAAGAGCTTGTTTTAATGCAAAAATGCAATTATCGTAGAATGGGATAAGCAACGCTTGAAAACATTGTTGCCTGTTGAAATAATTGATTATAGTTTCAAGGATGCCTTGGCCACAGATACCGTATTTTTTTGCTCTATAAGACTTACTTTTTCCCTCCCAAAAAGTAAGGGGAAATGTGTGTGTGTCTTATGGAGCGAATGCAGGCTGTGCAGCTATCCCAGAAGCCAGAACAGCAAGAGGGATTGCTGCTTTCACTGCGCAGCTGTTCTGGCTTCTAAGATTCAGAATTTTTCTTCTTCTTGTTTTCCTCCATCAAAAACTAGGTGCGTCTTGTGGTCTGGTGCGTCTTATAGAGCGAAAAATACGGTATTTCCCATCCTTGGTCAGAAAAATCCCCGAGGTAGTGCTGGAAGAAGCACAGCACTAAAGTTAGATTGCATGGGTCCTCCACAGGTTGTCTCTAGAATACAAACACACACACACACTATCATGAAAAAATATTCATTCCTAACAAACACCCCAGCCCTAAGCCATGCCCCATTGGATGGCAGTTTAGGAGAAAACCCTGTTTAAATGCAACATGTTTAAGAGATTTCTTCAGCCACCTGCGCTTTGACGAGCCAGAACTCAGGGCAGACACTTTTCCGTGACACATCTCAGCCAAGAGAGAGCCAAAGCGATTGTCAACAGGAGCAACAGCTGTGAAACCGCCAGGCAGCCGGGTTAACCTTCTGAACCAGCAAAAGATTTGTTACTAAGCTTACTTGACATTCCTTTGGTACGCATGTGTGGTTGCGAGGGATTGTTAGGGCCATTTCAACACGGCAGCCGGCGCAAGCTGGAAAGGTGTGGGATATTTAAGAGGAAGAGCAACATTCAGCGCCGTGACTGTTAGTAGCTCAGTGGCAGAGCCTCTGTTTGGGAGGCAGAAGGTCCCGATCCCTGGCAACTCGAGGTAGGGCTGGGAGTGACTCCTGCCTGAAACCCCGGACAGCTACTACCAGTCAGTCAGTGTACACATGACTGATGAACTAGTGGTTCTGATATACAATGGTACCTTGGTTCTCAAATGCCTTGGTACTCAAACAACTTGGAACCCAAACACTGCAAACCTGGAAGTAAGTGTTCCGGTTTGCGAACTTTCTTTTGGAAGCTGAATGTGCTCCGTTTTGAGTGTTACGCTTCCGTTTTGAGTGTTACACTGAGGTCTGTCTGTTTTTGCTATTTATTTTGTGTTTTTGCGGCTCTTGATTGATTGATTGTGTGACTGAAGTACATTGTTTATTGCTTTCATTTTATGGATCAATAGTCTCGCTAGATAGCAAAATTAATGTTATATTGCTGTTTTAGGGGTTGTTTTTAAAAGTCTGGAACGGATTAATCCATTTTGCATTACTTTCTATGGGAAAGCGCGCCTTGGTTTTGGAACGCTTTGGTTTGGGAATGGACTTCTGGAACGGATTAAGTTTGAGAACCAAGGTACCACTGTAAAGCAAATCCCCATGTTCCTAGCACACATGATACGTCCCAAAGGAGCAGCCTTAACAGTGGTCACTGGAGGAAAACATTAATCTGTCCTTCCTTTCCCATTGCGGTTCTCGAAACTGCACAGCTGAATTAAACAACCAGAGCTTAAACAACTGAAATAGTAGTGCAAAATGGGCCTCCTTTATTTTGCTGGGTCATGTTGCTTTTATTTTGCTGAGTCATGTTTCCTCGCTCTGCTCCAGCAATTCGTCCTGGCAGGCCTGAGACACACCTGGATCGTCTATACCCTCCCGGTCTACCCTGTTCAGTTCAATGGAGGAAGCAGCTGCTTAAGAGGCCCTGAGTTCCTTTCCCAGACAAATCTATGAAATTTAGGGAAGATAAGTTACACCTTCAGGGGAAGGGACTGTATGTAGCTCCAAGACAGAGAACATACAAAAGATCTATCTTAGATTTACAGTTAAAAAACCCCAGATATCACCCCAGAGCCTTGCTGCTGGGAAATGCTGGACTAAGTGATCCTATTGATGCTTTTGAATTATGGTGCTGGAGGAGACTCTTGAGAGTCCCATGGACTGCAAGAAGATCAAACCTATCCATTCTGAAGGAAATCAGCCCTGAGTGTTCATTGGAAGGACAGATCCTGAAGCTGAGGCCCCAATACTTTGTTTGTTTGTTTTTTAATGATATTTATTGGGGGGGAAAATTTTTTTAAAGTTACAAAAGAAAACAAAGTAGAAAAAGAGAAAAACAAGCCACTTCCAACCATACAAATACAAATTCAAAATAAGAGAGAAAAAAACAAAAAATACACCACAAACATTTAAAAACATTTAAAAACAAATCCATTATTCTCAAATCCTCAACTGTCATTACCCTCTTTCCTTGACCTCCTCCTCCTCCCCTTCCTTGTGTCCTGGTTGTTAATTGTCACAGCAGATCCTTTCCATATTTCATAATATTCTGTCATTACCTTACCTTAAACTATTTTAATCTTATCTTACTATAAAAAACCTTGAAACTTAAAACTTAAATCTTATTTTTACCAACTTCTCATAACCATAATATTCTTCCATAATTCTTTAAACATTTTTACTAAAGCCAAGTAATTTCATTCCAACATTTTTCTAACATTCATCAATTTTATAAAACAGTCCTAGTAGTGAAAAAAAGAAATAAAAACAAATCCAATCTTCATCCAGCGTCCCTTCCTCCTGGTCCCGGGTTTTGTCAGTCCTTATTATCCCATCGATCTGGCGCATTAACCTGGTAACCTTATATCCGAGGCCCTTAAGTCTCTTCCATGTCCCTTCCGCAGCTCTTCTTCATATTTGTAACTGTATTTTCCCTTGTCTCCTGCTCGTTTCACTCGTGGGAACTCCAGCTTAGCAATATTTTTGACCCTTCTCGACAGATCAGCCCCTTTTCCATAATCGACACTAAATTCCATGTGGTATTTAAAAACATGTTTCAAAATCCCTCCAAAATTGAGAGCCCCCACAATCCCAAACATCTCACGGCCCATTGCCAGACTTAAAAAGTCCAAACATCCCTGCATAGGAGGGTCTATCCAGTCCCCCATTTCCAAACCAAACCAAACCTTTTCTTTCCAAATCTGGCTTTTTCCAAGTTCATTTGTCAAATCCGAAAGCTCATATTCCTGTTGGGCCTGTTCTGTCAGGGCACACTCCTGATTTAATTCCTGGGTGGGCTCCACATATTTTCCCACTGCCTGTTCAAAATTTCTAATCGAATCAGCCATCAAATTCGTCTTCTCATGTAGCTGTTCCAGTAGGGCATTTGTTTTATACTGAGGCCCCAATACTTTGGCCACCTCATGAGAAGAGAAGACTCCCTGGAAAAGACCCTGATGTTGGGAAAGATGGAGGGCACAAGAAGAAGGGGACGACAGAGGACGAGATGGTTGGACAGTGTCCTTGAAGCTACTAACATGAGTTTGACCAAACTGCTGGAGGCAGTGGAAGACAGGAGTGCCTGACGTTGCTCTGGTCCATGGGGTCACAAAGAGTCGGACACAACTAAACGACTAAACAACAACAACAACGAGTTCTAAATGCAAGTTCAGGATTAGGTACACTGCCAACGACATTCCAGCTCCACGGAGTGCTGTTCCTTAATATTATGTTCCAAGTAAATGTGTTTAGGATGAGGGTTAGCTATCACCCAACCTGCAAACAAAACAAAGCCCTGCTATGATGCCTCAACGAACGCAAAAGAGTGGAGCATGTCAATGAGACACGATCTATTTTCAATCGAGATCAGGGTTTATAGGACAAGACTCTCCCTCTACCTCACAGGCAAGCCAAGTTGACGGATGGTTCAAATACCTGGGGAAAGTTCAGCAATCACTTTTTTTAGACTCAGAGGAAATGACTCCCAAGCAGAGATCGGCAGCACACTTTTGGGCTGGCGCACATGTGTGCACATATTCTGTCTTGCGCCACCAAAACATAGGAGTGGCAGACCTGTAAAGATGCCACCCAGCACCCACTTACATGTCCTTGCTAGCAACAGGAGCCATTTGTGCACATGGTGCACCATTCAGTTCCTGCCAGCCACAGGACTTTGGAGCAGCCATTGATCACACCCACACCAGACATTTAAGCACTCTTATACCCAGGGCAAACATGTTGTGAAGAATCCCGTATAAAGTATCCATCTGTCATGGATCAGCCCAGTATACCTGAAGGAGCATCTCCACCCCCATCGTTCAGCCTGGACACTGAGGTCCAGCTCCAAGGGCCTTCTGGCGGTTCCCTCACTGTGAGAAGCCAAGTTACAGGGAACCAGGCAGAGGGCCTTCTCGGTGGTGGCGCCCGCCCTGTGGAATGCCCTCCCATCAGATGTCAAAGAGATAAACAACTATCTGACTTTTAGAAGACATCTGAAGGCAGCCCTGTTTAGGGAAGTTTTTAATGTTTGATGTTTTATTCTGTTTTTAATATTCTGTTGGGAGCCACCCATAGTGGCTGAGGAAACCCAGCCAGATGGGCGGGGTATAAATAAATAATAATAATAATAATAATAATAATAATAATAATAATTATTATTATTATTATTATTATTATTAATGCTTGAGTTGATTGAGTTAATGCAGGGGATTGGACTAAATTACCCTTGGGCATCCCTTCCAACTCTATGATTCTGTGTTTCATAACATGCAACTGCACCTAAGGTCTTGGGAAAACCAACTCAAAGGCAATATAGGACAATATGTCATACGCATGTAACAGACACCATTTCTCCCTGATGTTTCAGAAAGTGAAAATCCAGACACAAAAAGGGTTTTGAGCTTTTTGTTTGGCAAAGTTGTTACTTTTGAGGGGGGGGGGAGTTTAGCTTTTGCACAATCCCCCCCATGAAGGTACCCTGCCCCCCTGGAAAATCACCCCCCAAAAGCAACATTTCCAATATGTGCTGCCATACACAAGGGTTTCCCCCGTCGTTTTTGCCGCTTTCCGAAAATTCCGCCCAGACGCCATTTTCGAAGGACGAATCCCGGCTATGTCCGTGAAATTCTGGACCTAGGGCAGCCCTGTTTAAAACCAAGCCGATAGGTGTTTCAGTGCATGGGGACGAGGAAACCGTATTCTGCTAGCATAAAGGCTGAGATGAAACTGACCAGCCTTGAGGCAAAATGTGAGACACAAGCTGTTGGTTTCAGTTCACTAGCTACTACACTGTAACCTCGGGTTACAGACGCTTCAGGTTACAGACTCCGCTAACCCAGAAATAGTACCTCGGGTTAAGAACTTTGCTTCAGGATGAGAACAGAAATCACACAGTGGCAGCAGCGGGAGGCCCCATTACCTAAAGTGGTACCTCATGTTAAGAACAGTTTCAGGTTAAGAATGGACCTCCAGAACGAATTAAGTACGTAACCAGAGGTACTACTGTACAGAAAATCCCAAAAGACAAAAGGTTTAAATTGTTTGAGGAGGATGGAGACAAAGCAGAGCTTCCAGACAACCCTTTTATCAAGCTTTTGTTCAGATTTGTTTACTAGATGTAGGTGATGTTGTGTCAAATTGGGGTTTTCTAAACTTGGACTACAACTCCCATCATCCCTAGCTAGCAGGACCAGTGGTCAGGGATGATGGGAATTGTAGTCTCAAAAAACATCTGAAGTCCCAAGTTTGGGAAACCTGGTGTCAAAGGAAGGGTTATCTCATGTTATGAATGCAGTAGGCATTACTGTCATCTCTAGGTGGTGCTGGGAAAATCTCCTGTCTCAAATCCCAAAGATCCACCGCAAGGCAGCACAGAACAGAGATGGGGAATCACTGGTCCTCTAGATGCGGTGAGACTACAGATCCCAGTGCCTCTGAACATTGGCTCTGTTGGCTGGGGCTTTGGGGAGTTGTAGTGCAGCAAATTCTGGAGGGCCCTGGTGTATACAGAACTTTGCTAGATGAACCAATGGTCTGACTCAGTATAAAACAGCTTCCTGTGTTCCTAGATGTAGACCTAGTCAGTTTGGATGGGACCCAGCTGAAGAACCCCAAGCAGAACGAGCATTGAGTACATAGGAGTAAGCACTTTCAAATTTCACCAATTTTATAAGCGGTAATCAACTAGGAATAAATGGAGCACTGATTTATGCGTCAGGACTGATTCAGGAGAGGTAATATAGAACAGGCGCAAAGGGAGTTAGGACGATAAATATTGCTTTGACATATGCGAGATTGTCACTGACTGCGCATTTCAAGGCGTGTCTACTCAGATTGTAAGCGCTATTTAGTTCCATGAGTCTTATTTCCAGGTAAGTGGGAACACAATTGCAGCCAACAGCTGCAACCTTAAGCATATTTACTTGGAAGTAATGCCCCACTAATGAAGTAAGAAATTTTTCTTCTGAGAGATTTCAGCCTGAAAAGCACTGTTTCCTATGTCTTCCTGCCACGACACTCCATGTGGGTTCAGAACACGCTTCTCTAATCTATTCAGTGTCCTTCTAATGACCACTTTATTTTCTTCACCCAAGGCCAGAGGCAGATAATAGCTGGCTTTTCAGAAGGCTGCGGTGGTCCATGAGGCATTCATCTTGTCCCACTGTCATCTCCCGTCAGGAAAGTTTTGCAGATATTTAAATCTCTGCAGAGTTTTACGGACAGGGGTTGTGGCAGGATGATTGTGACCACCAAAATGGATCTAACCTTATGATATTCTGGAGAGGGTGAGAAGTGGGTTCTATCTTCAGCCCCCTTTCAGATTTGCCCTAGTACCATCTAAGCTGTCCCTCCATCACCTGCAAAATCCCTTCTAACCAACCTTTGCTATACATTCTCAAATGTCTCCTTATACTCCACAAGAACTGTATGAACTAGACTGCAAGTCCTCTGGGCATTTATGTCTCCTCTAATATTCCTGGGGTTACAGCACATTAAATCATCATCAAGAAAATCTGTGGTCACCCCAGAACCTGTTTTCAGGCTAGGATGTAGCCCTGGGGGTATTTGAATCACTGAAAAAGTCACTGAGCACATGCAGAGTAAATCTCCATGACTAACTACAACAGTCTGCACCTTTGAAAGAATGTGAATTGCCACTTGTGTCCTTGCTCCTCTTTAAAAATACAAAGATCCAGTAAACAATAAGCAACAACAACAAGAAGAAGAAGACCCTTGCTGGGTGTAACAGTTTCCTGCAGTTTTAATGCGATCTCATGCAACTTACTCAGAAGTAAGCTTTACCCATGAAACTTACTCCTGACACAGTCTGCATGGGCTTGCAGCCTTAATGCTATAATTAGAGCAGTAGTATTTGTATAGGGAAGGGAGAAGGAGGTTAAATTGCTTTTCCGCTTACCCACTTAAAAACACACACCAATAAATAAAACAGAGACCTGTTGCTTTTTAAGAAAATTGTAACGTACAGGAGAGTTTCCATGCCATCTCCCTTGCTCCTTCCTTGGCAACCACAATCCCCTCCCCCCCCAACACACACACACACACACACACACACACACACACACACACACTTTTTGATCATTTGATGTCAGGTGATTTGAGCCACATGTCTACCGGATCAGATCCTTTTGTTGAGCGTAGCCCTGCATACTTGGTTTGCTGGGAGGTGTCCTTGTACACCACAATACAAGCATTACAAGTAAAAAGTTCATGCCCCCCCTTTCCCCTAATCTCAAAAAATAAAATAAAATAAGACCACTCTGGTCCTGTGTCTGCTACAGGATGAAAACTGCTAAACTGTTAGGACAGTAACATAGAGAAATGCAAAATATTTAATATATTTCTCAAGGCGACAAGAGACCTGGGTTCAATAATAAGATTCTAATGGGGATTCATAGGGAAAGGGTTTTTTAATTTGGTCAGTCTCTCCTTCCCATGATTCTGGTAGAGAAGCCAGTTCTGAAAACAGAGGCTTAGCTCTCCCAGGGCATTAACTTTTAGGAAATTCTCTTTCGAGGTTCGAATTCAATTATTACAGCAGCAACCATAAGTTCCAGTCCCACGTGTGTCTACTCAGAAGTATGTCCCATTGTGTTCGATGGGGGCTTACTCTCCAGTAAGTCGCCCTACGTTTGCAATCCTATGCATACTTACCTGGGAGTAAGCCCCGCTGCACACAATGGGACTTACTTCCGAGTAGACTGGCAGACGATTGCACTGTTGGAAGCCCAAAAGGGGGAGAGTGTAAGAGGACTAGGAAACCAAGAAATCTTGGAAGGATGGGGGTGGTCTCTTTTTCCCAAGCCATTAAGAAAAGTGCTCGCTGCCCAATTTATCTCTCATTTGAACACTCCACCACCATCGAAGTTTATCACAAGCACATCGTTTCATAAGAAAGAAAGAACGTCGTTTTCTCTTATAGTATCATAGCATGGCATTTTGATATAAAGTCCAGGAAAAGTGAAATTTGGAGTTGGCGCGGGTACTACTACTACTACTACTACTAATAAATTTATTTATGTATTTATTCCCCGCCCAACTGGCTGGGTTTCCCCATCCACTTTAATACTTCCCCCGCTTTTAAGAAGCAGAAAAGGCGAAATACAAAAGCAAACCAGGAGCGGGGAGAGAAGGAAAAGAAATAGACCCACTTTCAAAAGCTCCAATGCGATGAATATTCTCCCATTCAGCAAATGCTTGGCAGATCTCCGCCGACGCTTCTGGCGCTGGGCTCCCTCCCTCGAGCGCGACCAACAGCTGGAGCAAAAAATAGTAATATATAAAAAAAAAATTGGAACAAAAATAAGAATAAAAAAGGGACAAAATCCAGCCAGCCGTGCGCGGAGCTTACCTTCGCTCGCCCGGAATGCCACTGGGCAGACACTTGTCCGGCAGCGCGAGAAGAAGGGGAAGCAAGGGACCGTAAACAAACTGCTGAGCCGGAGTTTAAAAAAAAGAAGTGGGAGAGAGGAAAAGATCAAGGGACCGGAGACAATTTCACAGGATTAAAGGAAAGTTGTGTGGGAGGGAACAGACGCTCATCATGGGTAGCACTGGCCTGATTGGGGGGCTGCGCAAAAGGGGGAGGCGCCACAGAAAGACGTTTTGCAGTAGAAAAGGGAAATAGATCCTTTGTTTTGTTGCCTGACTCTGAGATAGGGAGGAGAGAGAGAGACAGAAAGTTCAGAATGGTTCATTTTAGGGGCTCCCCCAGAGGAGGGTGTTTAACATTTAGTTCCGCTGCGTGTGTGTAACCCGTACATTAGGGTACCCTCCAACAGTGCTCTGATGGAAATAGGGACAGCCTATACAGTCATAAGGTAAAGGTAAAGGGACCCCTGACCATTAGGTCCAGTTGTGGCTGACTCATCTCGCTTTATTGGCCGAGGGAGCCGGCGTACAGCTTCCGGGTCATGTGGCCAGCATGACTAAGCCGCTTCTGGCGAACCAGAGCAGCGCATGGAAACGCCGTTTACCTTCCCGCTGGAGCGGTACCTATTTATCTACTTGCACTTTGACGTGCTTTTGAACTGCTAGGTGGGCAGGAGCTGGGACCGAGCAATGGGAGCTCACCCCGTCGCGGGGATTCGAACCGCTGACCTTCTGATTGGCAAGTCCTAGGCTCTGTGGTTTAACCCACAGCGCCACCCGCGTCCTGTGGGTCATACCTCGGGATAAATACACTTCAGGTTGAGCGCTTCCGGGTTTCGCTGCTCGTGCATGCGCAGTCAAAATGACGTCAAGCGCATCCGCGTAAGCGGTGAAACATGACCCAAGCACACACGCTGTTGCGTCTTGCGTTCCATTCAGGATGCGAACGGGGCTGCGGAACGGATCCTGTTCGCATCCCAAGGTACCACTGTATTATTATTGGGGCTGCAGGTCGCACTGTGGGTTAAACCACAGAGCCTAGGACTTGCCGATCAGAAGGTTGGCGGTTCGAATCCCTGCGACGGGTTGAGCTCCCTTTGCTCGGTCCCAGCTCCTGCCAACCTAGCAGTTTGAAACGGCGTTTTCGTGCACTGCTCTGGTTCGCCAGAAGCGGCTTAGTCATGCTGGCCACATGACCCGGAAGCTGTACGCTGGCTCCCTCAGCCAATAAAGTAAGATGAGTGCCGCAACCCCCAAGTCGGCCATGACTGGACCTAATGGTCAGGGGTCCCTTTACCTTTACCTATATTATTATTATTCTCCACCATCTAACGATTGCTCCAACCACTCTGAGCAGCTTTCAACATATATAAAAAACATAATAAAAATAATAACTTATTATTTACACCCTGCCCATCTGGCTGGGTTTCCCCAGCCACTCTGGGCAGCTCCCAACAGAATATTAAAAACAGAATAAAACATCAAACATTCAAAACTTCCCTAAACAGGGCTGCCTTCACATGTCTTCAAAAAGTCAGATAGTTGTTTATTTCCTTGACATCTGACGGTTGGGAGCCACTACCGAGAAGGCCCTGGTTCCCTGTCACCTCACTTCTCACGGGGAGGGAACTGCCAGAAGGCCCTCGGAGCTGGACATTAGTGTCCAGGCTGAACGATGGGGATGGAGATGCTCCTTCACGTATACTGGGCTAAGGCTATTTAGGGCTTTAAAGGTCAGCTCCAACACTTTGAATTGTGCTCAGAAAGGTACTGGGAGCCAACATTAAACATTTTTTAAAACTTCCATATACAGAACTGCCTTCAGATGGCTCTGGGGGTCAAATAATTCCATACCCTCTGATGCTGGTTGCACAAGCTAACCCTGCAAACCGTCAGGCTCCCCACAACACTTACATGCCCAGCTGATATCAGGGCAGAGTTTTACTCAGGTACCAGTGTTTGCAGGTCAGCCTCTGCCAAGTCTTCTTTCTTTGGTGATAACTTGTAGCCGAGTAAGATTGTCTTCCATGAACACAGCCTTTATCAGTGAGTCCATAAGTGACTGTGGAGGCCAATTCTGGATCCACACGTCCTTCCACAGTGGGGACATAGGTTTCCGGACAAGAGTTGATCAGGGTTTGCCAAACAAGCGCTTCCTCTTTCTCCCTTTTGGCCTGAGTTTGAGCGTCTTCAAAGTCCATGACACCTTTGGTAAGTGGGGAAGGATCTTCCCCAGTCAGAGGAGGGGCTATTCTTCCTAATGATCAGTAAGAATCCCATTTATTGTCATTTGAACCAATGAATCAACAGCAAACAACAGCAGCAAGCTCCAAATTTGCTGCAAATCCGTGTGACAGGGCTTCAAATACTTGATGGTTGCTATCATATCTCAGCGGCCTCTTTTCTAGGCTAAACATTCTCTGCTTTTCAGCCTTTTTTCTTTTTTAATTTTCAAAGATCTTTATTGAAACTTAACATATATACCTAATAACCCAAATTCCCAATGATTCCCTCACATAAAATATCTAAATTACAACAGCTGCATAATTATACACAATTCTAAAACCCAACCCCACCCCTCTACTTCTCTCCACAGCAATTCAACTTCTTTATATTTCTTTCTACCTTTTCCCCCTTGCACTCTTTAATAAATTATTTTTGTTAAATTCTGATTTTTCCTTCTTTCTTTATTGGTTTTGTTATTGCTTACGTTTTTTATTCTAAGCCTATTAACATGTCATTTTTTTAGAACAATATTTTGACATATAATCTTCGAAATACTTCCACTGCATTCTTAACTTTTGATTTGATTGATATCTTATAATTGAAGTTAATTTTGCCAATTCTATATAGCCTCTTAATTTATAAATCCACTTTTCTTAAAGGGCTCACCATTATTGTCACCAGCGTCTAAAAAAGAGAGAAAAAGTTTAGGGGTACTCTCATTTTCCTACTCATATTGAAATACTGCCCCTCAATGAGGCCAAACTTAGATTCACAAAATGTTTAGGGGTATGCATACCCCAGAAAAAAATAGATAGATAGATAGATGATAGATAGATAGATGATAGATAGATAGATAGATAGATAAGATAGTTTGCTTCTGCCACACTCTGGATTCTAAGCAGTCCTGTTTTCACTTCATTTCCATCACCACTCACCACCGGAGTTTGCTATTAGAAGAAGTTGCGTCAAAAGGGAAAACATGCAAACAGGCTTCTACCCATCTGCTCAGTCGGAAATAAAACCGGTTCCCTCCTTCCTGCCTGACCTGCCATTTTACATAGTGCATTCCAAGTATGTCAGACTCTTCACAATCACACACACTCGTTTGTTTGTTTGTTTGTTTTGTATAACGCCCTATATCCATAGGTCTCAGGGCATTTCACAACACAAAGTTACAATATTAAAGCACAAAATACAGAATATAAATAATCAATCAATCAACAATACACAGGTATACAAACTAGTAAAAAGCTAGTAAATACAGTGGTACCTCGGGTTACATATGCTTCAGGTTACATACTCCGCTAACCCAGAAATAGTACCTCGGGTTAAGAACTTTGCTTCAGGATAAGAACAGAAATTGTGCTCCGGCAGCACAGCAGCAGCAGGAGGCCCCATTAGCTAAAGTGGTGCTTCAGGTTAAGAACAGTTTCAGGTTAAGAACGGACCTCCAGAACAAATTAAGTACTTAACCTGAGGTACCACTGTAAGTGAATCAAGATTATTATTATTATTTTTATACTGCTGACCAGGAATACTCTCCGATATCCGACATTTCACTGCCCCATTTGCAGCTGGCAAAATAAAAATTGGGGAGGAACATTTTGGTGAATGGGAGATTTAGGAAAAAATGTGGGCTTTGATAGTAATGGTGCTTCTCTGTATGACTGGTGGTCACTATTTTTTATTTCCCACAAATCCTACAGGAATGATACCAGACCACCACCAACTGCACAGAGGAGCATGGTCCTCAGTGATGAGGGGCTGGGGAACTCTTCCTCTCTAAATTCTGAGCCACAGATTTATTTTTGGGCTCAGCGACAGTGCGTTCAGGGCTCATGTCCAGTATTTTGGGGGCTCTTGGGCAAGCCATTGGACCCCATTAATCTGGAAGAGATGGAGGTTGTATCCTCTCACATTACCTCTGGCTTCCTAAGCTACTCTGAGAAAGATCAGCACAGTGGTGCTCTTAGAGCAATATATTCTTCAGGGCAGAACCGGTCCTACCATTAGGCAGAGTGAGGAGGCAGTGGATAATGGCAGGCAAAGTGCTGGAGGGAAGAGATGCCTTGCATCCCATAAGCTAGTCAGTTTCCCCTTGGATGCAGTGGAAGATGCTGTCCTGTCACCTCCAGAGAAATGAGATTCAACAACCGATCTGGTCAGATTCTGTATGTGCAATAAGTCAGTCAGTCAAGTTTATTGCTTATAGCCAAAGGCTGCTGCAATGTATACAATGTCATTCAATAAAATATATACTAGTTTGATACACAAACTTAAAACATTTACATTGACAAAACATGACCTAATCTGCACAAAGCTATAGAAACTCCTTAATATACAAATTGAAACATTAGACAATAAAATTCATAAGCTAAAATCATCGTAAAGGTAAAGGGACCCCTGACCATTAGGTTCAGTCGTGGCCGACTCTGGGGTTGCGGCGCTCATCTCGCTTTGTTGGCCGAGGGAGCCGGCGTACAGCTTCTGGGTCATGTGGTCAGCATGACTAAGCTGCTTCTGGCAAATCAGAGCAGCGCACGGAAATGCTGTTTACCTTCCTGCCGGAGCGGTACCTATTTATCTACTTGCACTTTGACGTGCTTTTGAACTGCTAGGTGGGCAGGAGCAGGGACCGAGCAACAGGAGCTCACCCCGTCACGGGGATTTGAACCACCAACCTTCTGATCAGCAAGTCCTAGGCTCTGTGGTTTAACCCACAGCACCACCCCCGTCCCACAGCTTGATGTAGATGGGGTCAAATAAATTCATCTCCTTTACAGTTGATAGCTATCTCGGCTATATAATTTTTTCTAATTTTCCTGGCGGCAGTTGCAAAAAATGCTACACGCCAGGTCACATACTTATCTATGTCTGCAAGGAGATAAAGAATCATGTCAGGAGGGTTCTGGCCAGGGGACCTTATCGTTATAGGTGTCAAAAACTGTTTTCTTGCTTCATTATATAAGGGGCAGCGTAAAATATAATGCGTAAGGTCCTCTAATTCAGGGCATCCCCTAATACAAACACGTTCATTTACTGGTACGCCTCTATATCTCCCATCTCTATAAGCAGTTTATTGTATTTAATCGTAACTCTGTAAAAGCTTTCCGGAGTTGTACAAAAGTCAATGCACTGAAGTAAAACATATGTTCATGGGCCTCTCTAAGTTTAAAATATAATGGGGTGCACGTGAATCGCTACATGGAGATTAAGTCATTTTTAGTAGCCACTGCCCTTATGGTCCATTGAAGCCCTGGTCAGTTTTTTGAACTTTGATATTCTCTGGAGCTGGTCTTATATGCTATGCGGTTTCTAGTGCAAGGGCTTCAAATCATATCAATCTGCATTTTTGTCACGGCTGGCTGGCCTCAACGAGGAGAAAGAGGGAACGTGACTTGTTTGCCAAAATGGTTGCAAAAATCCTCATGGCAACATGGAAAGGGGAGGTGTTCACTCTTCCACAAGTAGCATAGGAAGTTTGGAATGGGAAATTCCCAGCAGGGGCCAGGAGGCAGAATTTAAAAAGATCTGTGTGAAAGCAAGGAGCAAGTCTTTTATTTCTCACTGCGCTGTCTGCCAGATGCAATAAAGTCAGTGCCTGGATTTAATAAACTCCCCCTTGTTATTAAGAAAACAAGGTCTCTTTTCCTGGAAAACTAACAAATCCAAGGATAGGGTGTAACTTTTCATAATCATGATTTGTTCTGAGTGCTTTGTGAGAATGCCAAAAGACCCTTTGAAATACCAAATGTTTTTTCCAATTAGGCAGACGTAAGGAGACTGGAACCAACGCAGCTGACACTGGATTTAGGTGGCTTCAATTCTTCTTAAAAGAACAATGTTGGGTTGTTGTTTTCTTTTAATGAAATAAAACACCAGCTTTGCAAACGGTTACACAAAATAAGCCCCAGAGTAGGACCAAATCAAATTGAGGCCCCTGCTGTGGTGCAATTATGCAGGAATTAAGAGACCCGCAGATATGGCTAGTTAGTTCAAGGCAGCATTCAAACTTTAAACCCAGACTTTACCTCTTTGACTTCTCCTGCTTCATTGACTCTGTATTGTTTATGGCAGGGATGGAGAACCTCCTTATGAAACAGCTGAGGGCCACGAGGTTTTCATCCCTGATCTACAACTACAAAGCTACTAGGTCTACTTTTCTTCTTCTAAAACCCAGTCCTGTTCCAAGGCTATGTACACACACTTCAATAAAGCAAGCAAAAAACACCACCACCTTAGTCCTCCTATCTCACTGAGGTTTATATCTCCACTTTTTGATCAAGTGGCCCCTTGCCCCTGTTTTCCTCATCCCCCTTGCCTTCATCACCCCATTCCTTTGGACTTGACCACCTATTCTTCCTCCTGGGCTCCTGTGCCCGAATCCAACTCTATCCCTTTGCACTTTGGCAGCACTTAAAGAAGCCATTAAAAAGGTAAAGGGACCTCTGACCATTAGGTCCAGTCGTGGCCGACTCTGGGGTTGTGGCGCTCATCTCGCTTTATTGGTTGAGGGAGCCGGCGTACAGCTTCCAGGTCATGTGGCCAGCATGACTAAGCCGCTTCTGGTGAACCAGAGCAGCGCATAGAAATGCCATTTACCTTCCCGCCAGAGCAGTACCTATTTATCTACTTGCACTTTGACGTGCTTTCGAACTGCTAGGTTGGCAGGAGCAGGGACCGAACAACGGGAGCTCACCCCATCGAACTGCCAACCATCTGATCAGCAAGTCCTAGGCCCACAGCGCCACCCGCATTACTAGACTCCTAAAAAAACCAGAAGACTGCATGAGCCTACAGGTCTCAGCAATGATCACCTTGTGCAAGATTAATTTACCATAGATAGGCAAGGTCTCTGGGCACATTGTGGCATCCCGACAGTGGGTTAGCCAGGTGTTTTTGAATGAAACCTATTATTCAGATCTATTCCAATCTGGCTTCTGGCCTGGTCTGGGGAGCCAAAACCAGAATACCCTATGCTGAGTGATGGATAGCGGGAATGTGACCCGGATGATTCTTCTGCACTTCTCAGATGTGACTCATCTTTCTGAATGGAATTATTTGCTAATTATTTACCTTTCCATGGAGGCGCAGGTTACTGCAACAGCAAAGGCGACATTTTTCTACCTTCGCCACATTAAGCAGTTGGCCCCTTACCTTTCCCGCCCCGATCTGGCCACAGTGATCCATGCAACAGTCATCTCCAGGCTTGACTACTGTAATTCGCTCTACGCGGGGCTGCCCTTGAAGCTGTCCCAGAAACTCCAGCGGGTGCAGAATGCTGCAGCGAGGCTCCTCACAGGGTCTCTGCCATGGGAGCATATTCACCCAGTGCTTTTCCAGCTGCACTGGCTCCCGGCGGAGTACAGGGTCAGATTTAAGATGCTGGTTTTGACCTTTAAAGCCCTTCACAGCCTAGGAACCTCGTACCAACGGGACCGCCTCTCCCGGTATCCTCCATGGAGGACCTTAAGGTCCATAAATAGCAACATCCTAGAGGTCCTGGGCCCTAAGGAAGTTAGATTAGCCTCAACCAGAGCCAGGGCTTTTTTGACACTGGCTCCGGCCTGGTGGAACACTCTGTCTCATGAGACTAGGGCCCTGCGGGATCTGATTTCTTTCCGCAGGGCCTGTAAGACAGAGTTGTTCCGCCTGTCCATTGGCTTAGAATAAATTTGATTCCCTTCCCCTCTTTCTTTTTCCCTTTCTCCTCCTGTGATAAGGCTGCATTTTAATGTTTTAATGTTGAATTTTAATCTTGTTTTTTAAGTTGTATTTCAATCAACTTGTTTTTATTATTGGTTGTTAGCCGCCCTGAGCCCGGTCTTGGCTGGGGAGGGTGGAGTATAAATAAAAATTATTATTATTATTATTACTATTATTACAATTATTTATTTTAAAGCTTCTAAGGTAGCTTTCAAATAACAACAACGGACATTTGAATACACAGCAATATCAACATATAAGGACAGTTGGCCAGATGGAGAAAGAGGGACCCCAGTTGAAGCAGCCTGTGGTGATTTCTGTGCCTGCCCTTCCCTATCTCCTTCCCTTCCCACTGGGAGTGGGAGGCACTGTACCACAGTGGCCCGAGTTATTCCTGTTGGATCAACTTTCCGGAGGTAGTGCTAGGGAACTGCTGTTCCACTTCATGACCCTTGAACTATAGGCTGTCACAAGTTCCCCTTTTTCAACATCTGCATCAGGGATGCCTGTGGCTTCTGAGACGCTGCTGCACTCCAGCTCCCATCATCCCTGACTACAGGCCATGTAGGCTGGGGGCCATGTAGCCCTTGTGGAGGGCTACAGTTTCCCCATCTCCAATCTAAATGAAAACTGCTGTGTGAGGTTATCTGGAGGCTGCAAATGGTCAAACAAAGGCAGTTATGCACAGCACCAATTGGGCAGCACGTGTGTTGTCATGAACCCGTACCCCCCATAACATTTTAAAATGAGTTTTTCTTTTTAAGGTGAGCATAGTTAAATCAAGAACACATAATTAAATGGCGAACAACCTTCCCTAAAGCATAGGTGGAGGAGCAAGACTAATTGGTGTTCAAATCAGCAATACATATGTCAAGTACAGGGCAAAAGGAGAAAAATCCACTACAACTTCTGCTTTAATGTTTTGTGTGCATGCAGCTGAGCTCTCTCTGTGCATGTAACAACTCTGCAGAGTTAAAACGGTGGGATCTAAAGACTCATGAATGGCATTACTGTGGCTTCCACTTCCCACCAGCGCCTCTTTCATCCTTTGTAAAGTCATTCTGGGAATTTGAAAGATGCTCAGTAATAATCTCCAGTGCAGCAGTCGGAGAAGAAATCTGGAAGGGACTAATATGCTTACAGAAGCAGTGAGCACTTGGACTCTTTGGATCCTGGCTAAGAAGACCTGTGGCACACACTAAAGAGAAAAATATATGCGGCATTTAATGTAGCCATAAAATATATAACCCATTAAAACCCAATCTTTTACCCAAGGGATACAATGCTATATGGAAACATGCCAATACTATTCTAATAAGAATAGCTTTGAGAGATGCTCTGCTCTTGCGCTCTCGCTCTCTTTACACGTGGGTTGCTGTTGAATTGCCAAGCAACAGCTACTTCCACACTACATTAGCAACATAATCTTGCAGAACGTTCCCTGTAAAACTACAGATAAAACTAAACAGTCACAATCACAGCCTTTGTAGAAGACTTTTAAAAAATGCAAGAAAAGCAACCATGAAGTTCCCATCCAACACTATTAAAACGCAACTGTTTGGTCTGATTGTTCAGCGTGATTTAGAAGCCCTAGAACAGGGGTCAGCAACCCGCGGCTCCGGAGCCGCATGTGGCTCTTTTACACCTTTGCCGCGGCTCCGGGGCAGATACTAGCGAGGGGAGGAGGCGCATTGTGTGCCCCGACACTCCCCACTGTTTTAAATGTCGCAATGGTTTTGCGGCTCCCAGTTTTTTCCCCTTCGGTCCAAGTGGCTCTTTTTGTCTTAAAGGTTGCAGACCCCTGCCCTAGAATATCTCCCTCTATTCATTTAGTTTTAGTTCTTTTCACTGATTTGTATTTACAACACATTAAAGCAACTGAGGATCCTTACTGGCAGATAACATACAGAGTGCAAGACGAAAGCATAGAAAAGGCAATAATTGAGGCATAATCTGGAAACATTTCAAGTACTTTATTCAAAACCTCAGTTTCCCTAGTCAGACTGAATGCACAACACCTTCAGACTGGGAGTAATCACCACCCTTCAAACTGATGTCAGGAGAAGGAAAACTCTTGACTTCAACATCCAGAGAACCCTGGCAGAACTTAATAGCTATTTCAGCTGCAGGTGGGGAATCCTTGGAAAATGCTGAGCTCTGATTGGCTTTCCTCTTAAACCAGGGGGCTGTAAATCATTGTTCCGCCTACAGCAAAAAGCTGGATTATTTACCGGTGAAATGGGGATTCTAATCCATCCAAGTTATGTTCAGTACAGAAGGAGGTGGGAGCAGCTACTGCAATGTAACCACTAAGTGTTTCACAGGTGTATTATCTCATGTATGAAGTGTCAGTAGGGATGAGAAAAATGCACTGCTAGACATGGGGCTAGGTCATGGTGAACAGGACTCTTCAAACCCCAGAGAAATCCCTCTCCTGCCCCCCATATAGTTACTTCCTATGTTCAGGCTGGTTCTCCTGGCTCAAATGAAACCCATGGGACCCACACTCCAAGAGAGGGAAGGAGAACCTGAGTGCACTCTGCACAGACTCAGAGGCACAATCTATATTGCAGGGTACTGTAGATTCATGGCTTTCAGAAAGAGGGTGATGAGGCTGAACTCAGATCAAACCCAGACACATATGAATCTCTAATATGGCAGAAACAGCAGATAAATCCTTCTCCTGCCCCTTATAGTTACTTCAGATGTTCAGGCTCCTCATCCTGGCTCAAATAAACCCCACAGAACGCCCACTACAAGACAGGGAAGGAGAACATGAGTGCGCCCTGCACATGCTCAGAGGCACCATCTTTCCTTCACATGTCGCAGGGCAGACCCTTTCAGACAGAGGGTGGTGGAGCTTGAACTCAAGACATGCGTTAACCTCTAACCAATGGGACAAACAGCAGAGGGGGTGCCCTGTGCAGCAGCACCCCAACTTTTCGACCAAAGGGGAGGGCAGCATGGGCGTAGGAAGGGGGGGGTACAGCTGCCCCTATAAATCAAGTCTTTTTAAAAAAAATAATAATTTTATCGCATTTTCAATTTTATCACGATCAGTTTCATTACGTAATTCAATAAACCCAAGCATTGCTCTAACAGAGCATCAACCTCCCCCCCGCCCCTCTTTCTGACTTCCATACATAATTACTTTATTCTCAGCATTTCTATAACCACTTTTTTTACCTTCTCTCTCGTTTTTGTATTTCCCCTCCTTAAATGTAGATCAGCCTCTATAAACCAAGTCGATAAATAAAAACTTAACTAAAATAAGTAAATAAATAAAAAAATACTGAACTGGCCAACTGATAACTCGGTTCCTCCCCTCCCCCCAATAACCCCCCCCAAAATTAAATCCTGGAGGGCGGCCTATAACAAAGCACCCTCCCCCAACAACGACCCCGCTTTGGAGGCACGACAAGCGAGCTTTAGAGACCCCCTCGAGGGTGTTGGGGAGGGATTTGAACCCAGGCCTTCCTCGGCGTCCCTACCCCGGCACTCTAACCGCGGCACCGCCCCCGCCCGCGCCCCGTTCGACGGCAGAAAGTCGTCGCGAGCAGCTCGGCCTCCGGCGCCGTCGAGGCCCCCCGCCGCCGCGGGCCATGTGTCCCCCGGAGGCCCTCCGCGCCCTGCTGCAGAGGCGCCCGAAGGTTCTGCCGCCGGCGAAGGAGGCGAAGGGCGGGCGTCGGAGGTGGCGGTGGTGGCCGGCCCGCTGCTTGCCCGTGTGGTCGGGGATGTCCCGCGGCGCCAGCGCCGGCCCCTCGTCGTCGTCGTCGTCGTCTTCGTCCTCGTCCTCCACGTGCTGCTCCTCGCGCAAGGCGGAGCAAGCCCGCGGCCCCTTCGGCGAAGAGCAGTTCCTGGCCGTTTGCCGGGAGTCGACCAAGCCCCGGGAAGCGGCCAGGGCCGCCTGGGAGCTCATGGCCGAGACCGCCAGCTTCTGCATCTTCCGGCTCTTCGACGAGGTGCGACGGCGGCCAGCGGCGCCGGCGCTGCGGACAGACCAGAAGGGAAGGGGGGGGGAAAGGCCGCCGAGGCCTAGACGGAGCAAGGGAGCCTGAGGGACCGGCGCCGCGTTGCCGTGGAAACGCGAGGGAAAGAAGAGGCCGCCAAGCTGTTTGGGGACTACAGTTCCCGCCATCCCCGGCCACTGATTCTGCTAGCTAGGGATGATGGGAGTTGTAGTCCAATAACAGCTGGGGGCCCAAGGTTGAGAAACACTAGGGTTGCCCATACTTGGGTCTGCAGCTGTTTTTGTAGCAGTTCCCACCATGCCCAGCCACTGGTCCTGCTTAGCTAGCGATGATGGGAGTTGTAGTCTAACAAGAGCTAGGCCAGGCCAGGGTTGAATATTATTGGTTCTCCAGCTGTTTTTGTGGTAATTCCCATCATCCCTGACCACTGATCCTGCTAGCTAGGGATGATGGGAGTTGTAGTCCAACAACAGCTGGGGGCCCAAGGTTGAGAAACACTAGGCCCGGGTTGCCCATATTTGGGTCTCCAGCTGTTCTCGCAGCAATTCCCATCCATTGATCCTGCTAGCTAGGGATGATGGGAATTGTAGTCAAAAAACAGCTGGGGACCCAAGGTTGTGAAACACTCTGTGGGACAGCAGCTCTTTTCGTTAGTCAGACCCCCCTGGCCAAACTCCACCTGGCCTTTCCTCCACGGTGGCCAGTGGGGCTCCCTCCCCTCATGCCCCGTGGCCCTCACAACAGGCCTGCAAGGTAGGCAAGGCTGAGAGAAAGCGGCCTGAGGCCTCCGTTGCACTTCTAAAACCACTTCCATCCTTTGGAGGAGTGGGGAATGTATCAGGTTTGCCAACTGCTATTCTCTACTACAGCCTGCTCTTGATTGTTGGCCATGTCTCTTCTTCAAAGAAATAGATTACAAAGTTCCTGAACATGTACAAAATGCCTTGCCTTTCCGCTGGGCAACAGCAGCCTCTCATTATTTAAGGAGAAGCCCCACTGTATCAAACAAAACAGGGCTGGCAAGGTAAGGTGATTGCGTCTTGGAGCAGGATCCACAGGGGCAGCAGATCCCAATGTAGATCTTTATTGTTCCTAGGGTTGCCATTAGAAAAATCCTGCCCTCCATTATATAGTCATTCTTTGTTTATCCACACCCACGTAGGAGCAGGGCTTCTTCCTTCCAGGACAGATTACAAGACTAGCTCAAAGTCCTGAACCTCATTTGAAAAATTAAGATCTGCTCCATCTCTCTTTTTAGTATTAGATTTTTTGTGAGTGAACTTTTAAAGGATACGCGTGTAGTATTGCAAAGCATATGCCAGAAGGCAGCTCCTGGCCATTGCATTGTTCCTGTGTACAGGAAAAGCAGAAATCAAAGATGCAGTAATAGGGAGCAGCTTACCTGTTGTGTTTCTACCTGTCATGCAGATGTTAGGGACATAATAGCACTGCCAGGAAGGAAAAAACAACCAGTTAATGCCCTGGTGTGGGAGTTAACAAATGGACAGAATCAACCGAGGGGAGCAGAGGGGCAGAGAAGTGTGCATTACGTGACCTTGAAATAGACAGGGTCCTCCCTTGAGATGTAGTAGCAGTATTTGGGTATTCCAGATAGGAAGCATAAAATAGGGACTGACAGCTTTCTGTAGAGTACTGATCAGCAACTGACAGCCTGTGGGTCAAACCTGGCTGGGTGTTGGAGTGTCCTCTGCTCCCTCCACCTTGCCAGACTTCAAGCAGAAGGGATGTGCGGCACTTACTATGACTATAGAACTTGATTTAGGAAATGAGATTGGCTAATCGTTCTCTAGGGACGTGGGTGGCGCTGTGGGTTAAACCACAGGGCCTAGGACATGCTGATCAGAAGGTCGGCGGTTTGAATCCCTGCGACGGGGTGAGCTCCCGTTGCTCGGTCCCAGTTCCTGCCCACCTAGCAGTTCGAAAGCACGTCAAAGTGCAAGTAGATAAATAGGTACTCCGGCAGGAAGGTAAACAGCGTTTCCGTGTTCGCCAAAAGTGGCTTAGTTATGTTGGCCACATGACCCGGAAGCTGTACGCCGGCTCCCTCGGCCAGTAAAGCAAGATGAGCGCCGCAACCCCAGAGTCGGTCACGCTAGACCAAGGGGTCCCTTTACCTTTACCTTTACCCCCTCCTCAAAGTGATCCTCCTGTAAAACTACTTACAGTCCAGACAGATTAAGGATTAAATTGCTATATATTTCCATTTGAAATGGAACGGTGGAGACCTGCATCTCAAGGGTGCTTCTGGATTTAGATTGACAAGCATTTTGCCCTAACTATAGTGGGGTTAGGGGACGCGGGTGGCGCTGTGGGTAAAACCTCAACGCCTAGGACTTGCCGATCATCAGGTCGGCGGTTCGAATCCCCGCGGCGGGGTGCGCTCCCGCTGCTCGGTCCCAGCGCCTGCCAACCTAGCAGTTCGAAAGCACCCCCGGGTGCAAGTAGATAAATAGGGACCGCTTACTAGTGGGAAGGTAATGGCGTTTCCGTGTGCTGCGCTGGCTCCCCAGATGCAGCTTGTCACGCTGGCCACGTGACCCGGAAGTGTCTTCGGACAGCGCTGGCCCCCGGCCTCTTAAGTGAGATGGGCACACAACCCTAGAATCGGACACGACTGGCCCATACGGGCAGAGGTACCTTTACCTTTACCTTTATAGTGGGGTTAGCTCCATTTTTCATGGGTGTTCTGCTTCTGTGTCATCCCATCCTTCATGACCTTTCATGATCCTGAGGCTTCTATTTTCTTTTAGTCTTCTGCTTCCCAGACCTGAGAGGAGATGAGACTGAGTACTAACAGCTGGACTTTGTCTTGTTTAACCATGGGGGTGCACCACAGTTGTCTGTTTTTCTTTTCCCTTGCTCCCTTTCACAGGAAGTTTTGTAGGGCAATGTTTGAGAACCTGTGCTGATCTAATCCTTGGTTCAAGGATTAGCTTTTTCTTTTTCTTTTTCTTTTTCCAGCATCCTTGAATGGGTCAGGGAGGTGGGCAGAACGCCAGGAGTACAGACACAGGCAGAGTTTATTCTTTCCCTCCCTTCCAAAGCAGTTTGTGTCCTTGGAAAAACTGCATTTTTAAAAAATCTACAAACTCCTCTCCTTTTTTGTCCCTTACTGAAAGAGTATGGAAAGCTGGAGTGTGCTTGAGAGTTAGAAGACGAACAATATTTATTTTCTAAACGCTGCAACCTACTTTTAAGTACCGTATTTTTTGCTCTATAAGACGCACCAGACCACAAGACGCACCTAGTTTTTGGAGGAGGAAAACAAGAAAAAAAATATTCTGAATCTCAGAAGCCAGAACAGCAAGAAGGATCGCTACACTGTGAAAGCAGCAATCCCTCTTGCTGTTCTGGCTTCTGGGATAGCTGTGCAGCCTGCATTCACTCCATAAGACGCACACACATTTCCCCTTACTTTTTAGGAGGGAAAAAGTGAGTCTTATAGAGCAAAAAATACGGGCTTGTTTTCTGGAAGATTTCTGCTTGCTGCTCTTGTGTGTTCAAATTTACTCCATTTAATTTCTTGTCATGAGCTTATTTACTCAGTAGAAAAGTACCATGCTCCTATCTTGGCCGTGGTCTAGTGTGGGCCTCTACATAGCTCCATCCTTATTTCAGACATCATGATATATCGCTATATTGAAAACCAGGTATCACCCAGCCCTAGATGGCAGCAAGCACGCCACTCTTAATTCATTGCTGAAGCCTGTCTGCCAGTCCTTGCCATCATATTCCTAGATCTGTCTGGCCCAGATCTGTCTGTTTTAAATTGTTTTCACTCTTGTATACGTTTGAGGACAAATCCCAGCCTCCTCAGCACAGATTTCAGACTGCTTCCGCTTCAGGATAAACAGCTGGCCAACTCAGCAGGGCATTCTGCCTTGAAATACTGAAATACTGAAGCCCTGCTGGTTTATTGGCCAAGAGGAAAACTTTGTGGGCTGCCTGTGGTCAGAGACAGCGTGATTCAAGCAGCTGGCAGAGAAGCTTGGAAGTGGAGTCTAGTGCAGGCAGGAAGCCCAATTCTTTACCAACCGAAGTGCTATCAAAATTTGGACGTGCGTTGGTGGAATGCTTGAAGCCTCTTCTAGTTTGGTGTGTGTTGCATAGCCCTGCTGTATTAGATACGACAGGAATTTGGATAATTGGGGGCTTGGAAGTACAGTACTACCTCGGGTTAAGTACTTAATTCGTTCCGGAGGTCCGTTCTTAGCCTGAAACTGTTCTTAACCTGAAGCACCACTTTAGCTAATGGGGCCTCCTGCTGCCGCCGTGCCGCCGGAGCACGATTTCCGTTCTCATCCTGAAGCAAAGTTCTTAACCCGAGGTACTATTTCTGGGTTAGCGGAGTCTGTAACCTGAAGCGTATGTAACCTGGAGCGTATGTAACCCGAGGTACCACTGTAATGTATTTTAAATGCTAGGTTGTTTTGTTGGTGTGATAATTCTGTCCAGTCAGCAAATGCTGACACAGATCAAGAACAATTTCACACGTGGCTTGTATGTTTAATTTGTTTTGTTTTTTTAAATGGGAATACAAGTTCTGCATTGGTCAGACTGATTATTGAAATGAGAAATGCCTCTCTTCCGATTTCCCTTCTACTATAGGAACAATCACACTGTCATCCCAGTGAGGCTCAAAGGCCATTTAAGCCCTGCCTGGGAGGTCATTCTAAGTTTACATGGTGATTGTTTGGTGACTGGAATGCAGTATCATCCCTCAAGAAGAAAGTAGGCAGATGTCATACTTGGCTCGGTTTTAAAGGAAGCAATTTGTTGTATTTGTTTTATCAAAAGAAACGCTGCAATTTGTAGACTTATGCCAGCAGTGAAAGTTAAAACAGGTTGGCAGGTAGCATAAGTGGTGGAATCCACTTATAATCCATTTATAATCCACCAAGGTACAGTGGTACCTTGGTTTACGAACTTAATCGGTTCCGGAAGTCCGTTCTTAAACCAAAGTGTTCTTAAACCAAGACGTGCTTTCCCATAGCAGCGGGGGACTCGGTTTACAAATGGAACACACTCAACAGGAAGCGAAACATGGTTCTTATTCTAAGGCAAAGTTCACAAACCAAAACACCTACTTCCAGGTTTGCAGCGTTCTTAATCCAAGTTGTTCATAAACTAAGCCGTTCTTCAACCAAGGTACCACTGTAATTAGAGGAATGCAAAATAAGTAGGCATATGGATGTTGGGATTACATAGCTTTTCTTCACATATTTGCACTTCTTTTTAATTAGGGTTGGCTTGTTAATTCTCTGATGAACAGCTTTTTTAACTATTGTGGTAGTATCATACTGTGGTAGCATGCTTTGCTCTGGCCTTTGACACCTGAGATGTACAATTTTAGGACACACCCTATTTTGTGTGTTTTTTTGGAGGGGTGCGTAATTGTAAGTTTTTAAAATGTTTAATGTTGTATTTTAAACAGTTGTAACCTGCCCTGGGACCATAGGGTGAAGGTTGGGTAATAAAATTATTGTAATAATAATTTAGCAGTTTGCAAACATGCCTAAGGAACAGAGATTTGGAAACGAAACCTGGAACATTAAGGGTTCTAGCAAGTGTCCCAGAGTTGCTTTAAAAAAGAAAAAAAGAGAGGCTTTGCTTGCTGACTAAAGCCAGCTTTATCGCAGACTACGAATAAACAAATCTATAAAATAAACCAGAAAGAAAAAGCTCTCAAAGTGTCCAAAATATTTTGTAACCCACGCCTCTCTTTTTGCTTTTAAAGAAATCTGTGTCACTGTAGCAACTTTGGTAGAAATCTCTAAATACAGGAAAGTCTCTTCGTGGTGGAAAGCAACTAACACTGCCAGAGCGGTGGGATCATACTAAAATCTAGACTAGCTATAGGCAGACAAAATGCAGACTAATGTTTAACAATTTTGTTTTGTTTTGTTATTGCAATGGCCCAGTCTGAGAACACTTCATGGTACTGTATGTTTTCCAGCCTTCTAAACAAACATCTCCTGTAATCTGCAGGCACGTCATAATCTCACTTTCAGTTGATATTCACATTCCTTTCGTACAGGAAAATAGGTCTGCTAACCTTTGAAAGCTCAGATTATCTGAGATATTGCAAGCCTTGTGAACTAAAACCACAACTAAAACCATCTGTTGTGGTAGATGATGGTCTAGACTCTTCTTGTAATGTTCTTCAGTAAAGGGTAGTCCTTTAAATAAATGGAGGTAGAGTGATTTTACAGAGTGTAAAATTTCAGGAATCACTCTTAAATAATTGCAGGCTTGATGTATCTTTGGAAAATAGAACTCCAGAGGGCGTAGGCTTGGGTGGAGGTCTACTTCACATTGCCAGAATTTGTTTGTGAAGCAGTGTTGTAATGCCTTATTACAAAATGCTGTGTGAGTCATGCCGTATCTTTATTTTAAATATTTCCTTTCTTTAAATGTTGGGTTCATAAAGGGTCTAGCTGACGGTGCTGAAGGATGAAGTGATGTTTATTGAATGAGAAAGTTCATGATAACAGAGCTCTGTTAAAAAATATTTTACAGAATACAAGACTGAAAAGGGTAAAAGGTAGTTTAAATTCCATTCACGTGTACTGTACTTTGACATTTTTGCATCTTCTCAATGAATTAGACCCGAAAATCTTCTGTTTCTGCAATTGGTATTGCTAGCAAATAATGCAACTCTCTGAACAAAGGGTTATCCAACTCTTAGTGTAAGGTTTATTTGATTTGTGCAGAGGGCTGGACTGGTCAGGGTGAAGATGGGGGGGGGGGGTTGCTGGAGTCTAACAAAAGTAGAATATAGTCAGAGTGCTGAAATATATATTTATTGTTTCACTTGACTATCATAACAGAAGTACGACTGCTGCAGTTTATGTTTCAAAGCATAAAGGGGGATTAGATGCTGATAAGACTTTCATTTGACTATACAGTAGTCTCTGATATTTAAAATAAACAACTGAGTTATATTTACAACACCCACATTTATATAGGATGATTTCTATGGCATCTAGTGTGTAAATATGAAAAAGCATTATTGCTTTTGAGTAATATGTTTAGGATTATACAGAAAAAATGGGATGCGGGTGGCGCTGTGGGTTAAACCACAGAGCCTAGGACTTGCTGATCAGAAGGTCGGCGGTTCGAATCCCCGCGATGGGGTGAGCTCCCGTTGCTCAGTCCCTGCTCCTGCCAAGCTAGCAGTTCGAAAGCAGGTCAAACTGCAAGTAGATAAATAGGTACCGCTCCGGCGGGAAGGTAAACGGCGTTTCTGTGCGCTGCTCTGGTTCGCCAGAAGTGGCTTAGTCATGCTGGCCACATGACCCGGAAGCTGTACGCCGACTCCCTTGGCCAATAGAGCGAGATGAGCGCCACAACCCCAGAGTCGGCCACGACTGGACCTAATGGTCAGGGGTCCCTTTACCCTTTACCTATACAGAAAAAAGATATCTCCAGCCTAGCAGAGAGATTGGTATATATTTTAAGATAAGTCTGTCATTGAGCTGTCCAGTTCTTTAGGCAAATGGACCAACTCACCTCTATTTTAACGCAAACATCACAGAGTATATTTGTATGTTGTAAATGTATTCATTGTGCAAGCACAGTGGTATAAAAGAGTCTTTTTGGACATTGCTAGTGCAACCAAGGAAAGGCCTGAAATACAGGATTCTTGATTCTCCCCTACCTGCTCCCTCCTATTTCTCTTGCTTTTTCAGAAATCTGGACTGTACGAGTATAAAGTCTATGCCACTCTTGGTGATTGTTCCCCAGATGTATGTGCAGAAGTGTACATGGATTTAACCTACAGAACAAAATGGGACCGGTATCTTAGAGGTCAGTAAATTATTCAAGACCAAAATGTCATTTTCTTTGGTCACTGTGATAGGTTCTTTTCCTCCACTTCTTGACCACCATTGTTTTGAAGATTCTTCTACTTCGCTCTTTCAAGTGCTCTGTACAGTTTTTCAGTATGAAAAATGCATGAAGTAGATTTCCATTACCAAAGTGTTAATGCTAATATAGTCATCCACTTGTGATGCCCTGAAAAACAAATAAGAAGCAATGTTTTTCTTGCTAGCCACTTCTTGTGTTAAAACCAACTTTCTTAGATCCATCGACACTGTTCTTGTGTTGGTTTATGGGTAAATGGACTTGTCTCTTGATCATTATGTGACATCTGGGGAATCTGGGGACTGGTGTTTGATACCCCCTTAATCACCAGTTTTTATTAGATTGTTAGAGCAGTCAGATGCAAAAGCAGAAACTTTAATCATTTTGGAGGCAAAGGGAATCACATGTGTTATGCAAGCCACATCTGCTGAAATTCCCTCTCCTGAATATCTATGAAAAGATGAAGCAGCCTTTTGCAATTGGCTACTATACTCTAAGACCTTCTTTAGCTTTGATCTCTTTGATTCTAGAGAGAATTTCCCCTTATTTTTGTCCAGTTGGTTGTCTAAAACAATTATAATAATATTCATTACATGGATTTCCATTCCTCCAAATCAGGGATGCCCCTATGAAATTTAACTAGTGTTATTGAAATTCTTTCCCTCAGAGTTCCTCATATGTTTTGCGTAGGCAGGAGCCTCCAGATTTACCTCTTAATATCACTAAAGGTGAATTTCGTGGCAACTTAGGGGTGTGTGAAACTGAGAAATATCACGAGTCCTCTTGGAAGTTATTGTTTTACTTCAACATTAATTCCGATGCAGTTTTGCGTGAGCAAGGACTTCCACTTTTGCCTCAAAATTTGCTTTAGGTGAAATTTGTCAGAGGTGGTGTCATGTCATACTGTTGTGTACATCTTTATTTAATGGAATGACATTTGTGCATTTCCATCCCTATCCTAAACTTCAAAGTTCCGGTTCTCTTTGTTAGTTTATTGTTCAGCTCCGGCCCTTGAGCTGATACGGCTCATCTTGCCTTGAGCCCAGCAGAGTTAAATCCCAGAGTCCGCAAACGAAAGGATGAGGTCAGGTATGGTACTACATTGCTATGCTTTATTTCTAAGCTATGCTGAGAGCATACAAATATACACCTTGCCTCTGTGAGAGCAGAGAGCAACCCCCAAAGAAACGAAAGAACAAAAAAACCAGGAAACCAGTAAACGTCACATCCAGTCTCCCTTTCCCGTGAGAATCCAACAGTAACTTGACTGTGGAATGAAAACATAGTCTTGTGACTAGCAGCTGCTGCTCAGTGAGGGAAACAGAAACTAACACTCTTCTCCATGTTTAGTTTAAACAAGTGACTATTTGTCTTTTCATATAAACTATACATGAGATCCTTATCTAGTTGTGCAACATATCATATGGTGATCCAGCTGTAGCAGTACAGTGATACCTTGGTTTACAACCATAATCTGTTCCGGAGGTCCGGTTGTAAACCAAAACAGGTTGAAACCCAAGGCGCGCTTTCGCCATTGGGGCCTCAAAAAAAATAAAAATGGTTGTAATTAAAAAAATAAATGGGTTGAAATTAAAAAAAAAAAAAAGGGATACGCACTTCAGGGTTTGACGTGATCGTAATCCAAAATGGTTGTAATCCAAAACGGTTGCAAACCAAGGTACCACTGTACCTAAGATTATTCCCTGCTGAAACCACTACAGTCATACCTCAGGTTGAATGTGCTTCAGGATGAGCGCGTTCGAGTTGCGCTCCGCAGCAACCCGGAAGTAACAGAGCACGTTACTTCTGGGTTTTGCCGCTTGCGCATGCGCAGACGCTCAAAATGACATCACACGCATGCGTAGAAGCGCCGAAACATGACACGTGCAGACGCACGGACACGGGTTACGTTTGCTTCTAGATGTGAACGGGGCTCCGGAACAGATCCTGTTCGCATCTAGAGATACCATTGTACTCTTGGAGTTTCTTCATGCACAGCTAGTTCTGATGACATGTTTCTGCTGAGACCTTTTAGAAGATAGCATGGCAATGACTTTTCAGCCCCAGAACAAGAGAGCATTTCTCAACACATCACACTGTATTTGGTGACATCGATTGATGTTGGAAAGCTATTTATTCTAAGTAGCACCCATGGAAAAGCCTTTTAAGATGTATCCTTCCAAAGAAATGGTGCTCTGCTTTTCTTGAGTTGGTGGAAACTGCTTTTCAGCCATTGTCCTCACCCACCTCTTTTGCTCAAGTGACTTAGGACACTGCCTGCACTGAACTGTCTCTCCATACATTCGATTATAATAGGTTTGTTCTAATTATATTTTGATTTTTCCTTGGTTCACGCTACTGACAGAGCACTTCCAAGTTGCATCAACTGCCCTTCCCTACCATGTAATGTAGATTTTCCCATTATGTCCACATGTATCGATTATATGTTGAAGTTAACTTGAGTGTCCCTTGAGATACACAGGGGAGGGCTTGGTCATCTTGGCTAACTTTTAGCTATTGTGAGATTAATAAGAGCAGATACACTATCTTCCATTGGGATGACACTCTATTGCTGCATGCCACAGACACAAAGGGTGGGGAAGGAAACCCATGACTTCAACATGACGGGGCAATAGGATATGAATTTCCCCATCTGCAAATGACTCACCACGTCTGATTTGCAGAGCTTCACATATTTTGGCCTACGATAAGCAGGGAATGTTTCAAATATCTTCCGTTATCCCTTGTGTGATGCCATGCTCACATCTATGTTATATAATATATCTATATCTATCTATCTATATATATATATAGCATATTAGATGTCCATTGTCATTCAGACAAGATGTTTTCAAAAGGTGAATACTAATATATTTCTGGTGCATTTCTTAACTTAAGACTGTGGAACTTCCACAAAGAGCGAAGTTTCGATTTGTTTGTGTGTATAGAAAATATTGCATACTTTGATTAATCAATTTTAAGGAACAAAAGTATACATTACTGTTGTTATTGTTGTTAATTTTATACTCCACCTTTTCCCCGACGGGACTCTACATTCACAAGAAGAAACATTTCAATAATTTCCAGTGTACATAAATGAAGCGGCAGATTATTCTAGCAACCTTCGTAATGAATAATGAGATTTTAATATCTATTGGCAGGATTCACCTTAGCGTCTATACTGGAAGCCTACTGATTAGGCCACTTAGATTAGCAGGGGGAGAAGCAAAATGTCCTTTCAGTAGCAACTTCTCATGTCTTTTTGGTGCTGTTCTCCAAGGACCCCCAGTGTGGGAGGGCTTTATGGGGCAGTGAGGAGATTTGGAAAAACAAACAAACATGTGATCTGAGAACCCGTGCATCTCAGTAGGCCACTGTAGCTTATCTCACCATATTTCCCCAGATTTTGAACCCATGGACATTTTGGCAGCCCATGCTTTGATAGTGAGCTTGGAAAGGTTGTTTTGGAAAGGCAATAAAAGGTGAACAAAGGTAAAAATATGAACAGATTTACAGATACCAGAGACATATTAACCAGCAAGCCATCCTCACTGTCCTTAATCTAGGCTATCTCACTCTTCGGGGAATACTGAAAGAAGCTAGACTCTGCAAGTAATAGGATGACCTAAGATACAATAATAGCATGTCTTCTCAAATAATAGGGTTCAGTTTGTCCTTCTGGTATGTGAGAGAACATATCCATTTAAAGTGGAACTCCCTGTATTGCCCATTAAATTGAACATGTCAAATATTACTCTTTTTCTCACACCTTCAATTTTGAGTTTGCTTGCTGCTTAAGACGTAGGAAAATGAATAGGTTGTCAAGTGGCACCAAGTTAATACTCCAGTGACCTCTGGTGGAAAATGTGATATTATTTGGTGTCTTATAGTGGGAACAGCACTATCCATCAAACAGCTGGCATTACATATTGCATCGCACGGAAATAATGTATTCCAAGACAATAACTTCTTGTTAGGCCCCTTCATATATTTGTGAGGCATACTGGCATCTCAGCATATGTGTCTGCAGCAAAATAGTCCCTCATGCAGCCATTCTCACATTCATTGGAGAAAATACAGCATCTGAAGTGACTTTTATGGTCTGCCTGCCATAGCTAATTGGGACGATAAGGAACTTTAGAGAATACCTTTCCCTGCCCCATTGGAACTTCCCCAACTTTTGAGATCTGTCCATGAAGCCTACCTACTTGAGAAGGCTTAAGTTAGAGCAGGGCTTCCCAAGCCATGGTTTGTGAACTATCAGTGGACTGCAAGAATAATTGCGTGGACAGGCGGAGTCCCCCAGACCCTGGGAGGCCCCCCCCATGTGGAATAAAGACTCAAGACAACGTGCTATGGGATTTAATTGGCCACAACTTTATTATATTTCAGATGTGGGTAGACCTTGGCTCAGGCATTGGGCGTTTATCCCTCCCAGTCTCCAGCTGGGGATCTAGGGGACATCAGGGTTATCCGGGGGGGGGGGGATGGGCCGGCTCTGGAGAACAGAGATAGCCGCCCCATTACGCCGTCGTTACAGGGGAGACCAATGATGACCTCTCTGCGTACGGTCAAAGCCTCCCCTTTAACGGGGAACCCTGGTATCACCGCCACAAAGAGGAAGGGGGTGTGGGTCACCGCTGCACACCCCCCCATTCAGGAAGATAGACTAAAGGATTCCGCCCAAGGCCTGATACTGCCACCCGAGACCGCAAAGTTGCCGTCTCGCCGCCAAGACTACCTACACCTGAAAAGACCCTTCACCATCCACCAACCATCCGACAGGCCATGCCTGATGTCGCTCAGCCAACACTTGTTACCAAGGCCCGATAGGTGCACACCATTGGGCCTGCATAGTTCCTTCATGTATACTTTAATGCTGGGATGCTTCACGACCCGACCTCCCATGCGCGTGGTTGCAGAGCGCAATTCAACAGTGTAGTTAAGTCTGGTGGGTTTGAGGTTGCCACGCCATTGTAAGCGTGGTAGAAGCTCTGACCAGAAAATCGTGATATTGGGGTGCGTGGCATGTAAGCTTTCCAGGTCTGCAATCGCTGTTTTTGGCCAAGCCTGTGCTAATGGAGCCGCACAGGGTCCAGGGGCTGCGCGTGTCCACGCAAAGGGCCCCCCCGTTTAATGTGGGGAGCGGTCATTCAGGTGGTCTCTGGCATGTCGGTGTCTGGTTAAATATTGGCGACGACACACCCACTGCATTAAATATTCATGTTGGTTTTTAAAAATTGCATTTGAATTGCTTCTTTTATTGTAATCTATTGTGTCATGATTTGAATTCTATGGAATACAGTAAAATGCAATATATGACAAATAAAAGAAACTGTAAAATACATTTAAAAACTGTATAGCGTCTAGCACGGTGCATTACAAACTGTACAACAGGCAGAAAAAAACGTGGTCTGCCACAATCTTCATTAGTGATCCATTGGGGGTGGTGGTGGGGGGCTTTGGGAATTACTGATTTAGGGTCTTTTCAGTCATGGCACTGCAGTTTTAGAATTCTCTCCTTGATTAGGCCTGGCATCAACTTTTTTTTCTATTGTCCTTGGTAACAAATGTCCTCTCAAGTAATCGGGCTGTTGTAGGCCTGATTTCTACAAACTGGGTGAAAGAGCATTAATATGGTAAAAGCAGTTCTGTGTTAGCAGGTATCAAATGATGCACACGGGAGAGGAAAATCCTAGTTTCACAAATACACTTGCAGGGTCTGAACAGGTGGTGACAGGCCTGATCAGTAAGGAGGGACATGATAGAGGTGAATGAGATTTTGCTTAATGTGGAGAAATTTGCCCCCCCCCCCAGACTAGAACATGGGGTCACCTAAGATCATTTTCTGAGGCCCTTCTTCGTGTGCCTCCTCCTTGAGAGATCCGGAGGGTAGCAACACGAGAACGGGGCCTTCTCTGCAGTGGCTCCCCATCTGCAGAATGCTCTCCCCAGGGAAGTTCATCTGATGTCTTCATTGTACACCTGTAAGCACCAGGCAAAAACGTTCCTTTTTAACCAGGCCTTTGGTTGATCGGATTGACGTCCTATCCCCTTTTAAAAAGTGACTCTTTTGGGGGGGGGTTATTGGGTTGTTGTTTTTATTTTGATTACATATATTGATCTTTTCTGTGAACCGCCCTGAGACTTCCGGGTTTAGGGCGGTATATAAACTCAGTAAATAATCATAATAAAACAATAATGAAATTTAATGTTGGAAGATTTAGGAGAGACGAAAGGAAATCTTCACACAACCCTCTGTTATATGGGCATTTGCTACCGCAAGATATAACACTATCCACTGACTTGGATGGTTTTAAAGGGGTTTTTTTAGACAAATAGTGGGGGATAACTTTATGAATGGCTACTTGCTGTGCTACTGTATCTGTGTACTGCCTCTGGTACCTCTGAACATTAGTTACTGGCCTTTGTGAGAACAGGATGCTTGACTAGGTGAGCTTTTGGGTCAAATTCTTTAAAAAAGAACCAATTATGTCTATCCCTTTGTGCCCGACCCTTGTTGAGGTCTGACACATACACAGTTATGATTCGTGTCTGACTCCTTTCACATTTTCAATTCACCAAATGCATTGAAAACCTTATGTAAGTCCAGCTGAATAAAACATAGTCTGCATCTAACGCATTTCCCCTCCGATTTTTAGATATAAGTGAGAAACCTTTTGAGGGCAGAACAGTAATCCACTGGGAAGTGAAGTTCCCTTTCCCCATGGCAAATAGAGATGTATCCTTTCAAGTCTTGGCTTGCAGTTTTGCTCTTAATATTTGAGGCTGCAAACTCCTCACAGCACAGTTCTGCAAGTTTAAATGAGGTAAAAAAATTGACTCTTAAGGGAAAAGAAAAAGTTAAGACTTTGATGCTCATTCTTGTGAACCATATTCTGTCATACCCTTTGAGGAGCAAAACAAAAACAAATGCAGGCTTCTTGAAACAGGATTGCTTTTCGTATTTGCACCAGTATACCTTCTGTCTCGATTATATATGTATATTATATATACAGGCACATCCTGATTATTTCTTAAACTTCAGCATAGTATGTTTTCGTTCGTGAGCGTAAAGATATGGAACTTGAAGGGAAGAAGATATATGTTATATTGGCTAAAAGCGTGAATACCTCTAAATTCCCAGAGAAGACTGGGATTGTTAGAGTAAAGAATTATAAACAATGTGTGGCCTTTGAAAGCGATGGCAAGAAAGGCTCCAAAGGTAAGAAATCAGTAAAGAACTTTATAGAAATACCTGCTTAGAGCTAGGCATGAGGAGAAAGTTCAATTCAATTCACATTTGAAGGTGAACCTACCTAATACACACTTTTCAAAACAAGGCACAAACCCAAAGCAGAGCTATCCTTTGAAATTTGCATTACTCTGAATTTTGCAATAGTTTCCCAGCCAAGTAACATGTACACAAATGCATTTTTCAGGATACAGTGTGCATATAAATGCACATATTAAAGAAAACAATATACAGAAATGTATTATATTAGGGGAAGTTGCTTCTAAATCTTATTTATATTTATTTAACTTTTTTTTTTACTCTGCTTGACTGTAAACACAGCAACCTCTAAGCAGTTTACAACAGTATAAAAACATTAAGAATTATTGATTAAAAGTGTATATTTGTCAAAACGACATGCAACAATGTGCTTACTTTGAGAGCTTTGCACTACAATGTTGGCAAATTTTGCTGATTATTTTAGAAAACCAATTTACAAATTGCTACAGAAGTGTGCAAAATGATTGGGAGAAACAGAAAATTGTCAACTGCAAATGGCAGATACGCCTATCCCTTTTTAGAGCAGAAATGTTAAATTTACACGTTAGGATTATGAAAAACATATTCACTTGCTTTTTTAACACTAACAAATTTTGCTAAGATTGAAAGCAAGATAGTTGAACAGGTGTGTACAAAATAACACTAGAGGCTTGCATCCAATATTTTGGGTGGTTAATTCTTATGCACACATGTGTGCTCATCCCAGCCAACTAATTTGTGTAATCTGGTAACAGGAGTTGCTTAACCACATTGTGATCAGACCAGATTTGTATAAATTCTTTAGGGGCAAAATTAGTGATGGCATGATCATTCTTTATTCTGTAGAAGTAAATACCTGCGGGGAGAGTAATTTGTTTCAGGACTGTGGCGGTTATAGGAAAATTAATGATTAACTCTTTGTTAAACCCCACAGCGCTGTTTTGAATCTCCTCCACTGTGGCTGCTATTTGCATAGAGAAGAAAGCTGCCATTGGCACCAGTGGAAGTTTTTGTCCCAAGGAACATAGCAGCCACTAGGGGCATGTGGTGTGTGATCCTGATTGGACTGAAGTGGAGACAACAAGTTAAATCCCCTCTTTACCACCTCCCCAGCCCAGTCATATCGCTTCTAGCTTTGTGGTTCTTGTCATACCTCGTTTCTAAGACTAGGAAAACTTGCAGATGCCCCATTAATGAGCAAAGTTGACTTCTGATGCAGATATTTCAGTTCTGCTAATGGGTTCAAGTATCCTAGGCCCTAACTATTCATAATTCTTTCTAATAGAAATTTTTGCAGGGTTGGGGTTGGCAGGGGGAATCGTTTGTTGTTGTATGCACAATCCCTTCCTCTTGGTGATCAGAGAGAGAAAAATTAGATGTGGTTGGATATGCGCAAAAGTGGCAGAGCTTGCTGAAACTGGGAAACTTCCCTTCCAACTCTGCAACAGGCCTCCATAACTCCAGAGATGAAACTGAGAAGGATTTTCGAAGCCTCTGTCAGTTTAGCCTCTACATTGAAGAAAGACCTTTTAATTTATTGCAGAGCTGAATAAAGTGTTTTGCTTTCACTGCGCTTTTTGCAGCTATTGACCTGGGACCAGACAATGTACAATTGGTTCTGAACTTACAGGAACAGCAGTTGGGTGTACAAAACACTGCACAACTGAAGAGGGTGGAGGAGAAGAGCTTTTTGGGGAAAGAAAGAAAAAAACCTCTTGCAGTCATGCAAACGTTGTTCAGAAACCGTTGAGGGGTTTCAGCAAATATATCTGATATCATGGGATGGAACAGTGGAAAACTCCAGAGAAATAAGGGAATAGATTCTGTACATTTATGGTTCTAAATAACAACACTAAAAGCAGCTTAGATAGCTGCTAGTCAGGTGACCACAAAATAGATATATAAACGAATAGCTGCTGTTGCTTAAATAAGATTCTGACTGCCTCTTTTCTTCCTTTCTTTTGCTTTGAAGTTTTCATGTCATACTTTGATGACCCTGGTGGCAAGGTTCCTTCGTGGCTTGTCAACTGGGGAACCAAGGTAAGCAGGGGGCTGGAATTTGTAGGGAACAAGCCCAGTGGGTTATGCCCATGGCTTTTCTGGCCTGACTCTCTGTTGCCAGCACTGTAGGCAGAACTACAGGTACTGAAAGGGGAAGAGTCATAGAATTGTAGAGTTGGAAGGGACCCCAAGGGTCATCTAGTCCAACCCTCTGCAAAGCAGGACTCTCAGCTAAAGCACCCATGATAGATGGCCAGCCAACTTCTGTTTTAAAACCTCCAAAGGAGAAGAGTCCACAACCTCCACAGATCTTTCTATCAGAAGTTTTTTTCCTGATATTTAGTGGGAATCTCCTTTCTTGTAACTTTGAGCCACTGGTTGAAGTCCTACCCTCTGGAGCAGGAGAAACAAGCTCGTTCCCTCTTCCATGTGACAGCCCTTGAGATATTTGAAGATGGCTATCATATCTTCTCTCAGTCTCAGAATAGAGCCCAGAGCAACAATCCAGACTTGTTTGTGTCCATTCCCTATTGTCAGTTGCTAGTCTGAGACAATAGCTCTGTTCATGCAGTACTCACCTGAAGGTGGTATCCTGCTAGTGCAGGGGAGAAGGGCTGTGCTCTGGGCTCCTCCCACAGCACCAAGTATACTGCCTTAAAGAGGCCAATACTTACAAAACTTTTCTACTTCAGAAATCCATCAGGGAATGATACACATTTAGGATTTGCTTGTGCATTTCTTTCCCTTTTAATCTTTTCATTTCTATCCTTTCCCTGCCCAGTTAGGTAACTTGTTCAGAGCCTCCAACTCTCACTGATAATATCAAACAAAAACACTTTCTTCTAAACCTTTGGTTTATGTGCTGCTAGCAGCATGGGATATTGTTTGGATATTGTTTGGATCCTATAAATCTGTATATTTTGAAAGCTGCAAATGGTGGCGGCATGTTGCTATTGTGTAGGAGGGTCACCAGGATTAACAGATTTTAAAAACCAGTTATGAATCCCCCTCTAACCTGGTTTATAATGCTTGTTTAAGCCACAGAGCACAATTACTTTTGTGTTTGAAGTGACATAGGTGTAACAAACAGTTGAACATCAGTAGTTGCCTACTAGGCCATAAAGTTGATGCATAAGTATTCTGTGATCCCTTTCTTTACAGACTGGAGTGCCTAACTTCTTGATTGATATGGAGAAAGCTTGCCACAGTTACCGCAAAAGATAAAACTGCTCCTTGAATGTGATCCAGATCAATAGCTTAAAGGTATATTTTGCATGGATAATGAGCCATGGACACATCACTGAATAACATCTGCCTTTCGGGATAGTAATCATGAGCCATGTAAGTTCCCAGGCATGTGACAATGAAACATTAAAACTTTTCGTTTTTCATTTTCCATCTGTTTGATGCACTGCCACTTAATTTTTTGAGGGCTTTCATGTATCATTTCGACATTTGAGGCATGTAATGATCACCTTTGAACACAGGAGCTCTGATGCATTGCTTCAGTAGAGGGAACAGCGCTATGTTCAAAGAGGGCTGTGCATGCAGAACTTCTCCCTTCATTGAAACTAGTAGAGAAACCCATACTGCTGTGCACTCTGAACTCTGCATCAAGATGCTCAAGATACAGAGTACACTAGCTGTACTTTGGTCGACACTGCTAAATAGAACTGTTGGGTGCCTTTTAATTGATCACTTCTTACTCTATTCCTCTGCTGTCTTCTAAGAAATGTGACTTAAACAGTTCATTAAAAGCTAAAGTGGACAGGATTTTCAATGAGCAAATGAGATGTTATCTTTTATTGGAATAAATAGTCACAAAACGACTGGTCGACATCCAACGAAAGTTATATAAACCCCACTGACATCCATTAGTTGTGACTAAAGGCTATTAATCTCAGCAGGCCATAAACACAATGAACTTCTTCTTTGGGGTTGGGCCCATTGTGCGAGAAGATTTCAAATGTCAAGTTATTCATCTGAGCAAAACAAAAATGATTAGCAATAACTTTGCTAATAACCTTTCAAGGCACACTGGGTAACGCTGTGGGACTTTTTTCCCCTCCGTGTTGTGTGCCTTCCACATTTGATGCCCAGCTTCGCAAATATAACAATACATTCTGTGCCTGCCGAGATTGGAAGAAACAACATTAGAGTTGAAAAACTGCCTTATTTTCAGATTTTTATATTTCTGCTTGCATCTTTCCTGTTAGGTGGTTTTTGATCACCCAGGCCCAAGACCTAGCAGACAGATCACATGATGATTTCCTGCCATATCTGTCTGCTTTCTTGGTTCTCGAGAGTTGGTGCCTCATCCAGGTAAACAACACCCTGGGTATATAGCAATGTTTCCCCCCAGTATCAGCAAAAGCTTTTGGAAAAAGAGGAATGCAAAGCCCTGTTGCACACATGTTCGCGGGATCATAGCCATTATGTTTAATCAGCCCAGAAAAGTATATGATCTCATGTGTCCCATTGGTCATATTGTGTGAAACGGGCATTAACATTATTATTTCTTGTGGGAGACATTTGAAGTGAGCTAGTTAGTCTGTTTGCACAGATCTCTTTCATTCTGCTCTGTCTTAACAACAGAGGAAGCTGTTGCTTGTGGGTGCACAGGTCCCATTGTGGACTTTCTTCTGTATCTCAATGTGATGTTTTATCTGCTGTAGCAGGCACCATTGACTCTTTCCCTCTATGTCCACAATCTTGTAAGCTGTTTATTTTCGCAAATGCTTCTCAGGCTAAAGTAACAGCACAAGTCTCAGCATGTTTTTTTGTCCTTAACTGAGGGCTCTGACATACACATTATTAACTGGATTGAAAGGACTGGGGACAGGCGGTAGGACCAATAGCTCTTAGTTGTAGCATAATTCTAAACTTCGCTTAACAGAAACAGTTCTATGCGGTCCCCTTAACCTTGAAAAAATAAACCGGAGGCGAAAGTTTCCTCTATGAACAATCTCAGGTCTGTGCAGTATAGCAAAAGTAGGCACTGCATCCTGGCAATGGGTACAGCAAACTTCCGTATTGAATGAAGATGTATAAATATGTATCTGTAACAATGAGTCAGTTTGCCAAGCCAAATTCAACCCATCAGCCATGCATTGGCCTGCCAAGTGCTTGGCACCTGCCCCTTCCCCCGGTCCTAGGCAGTCAGCCAAAACAAAACAGGATTTTTATTGAGCCACCATTTGTGCCTGGTGTGCTGTGTGGAGGCCTGCTTTATATTTTGCATATTCCACTAATCTCATTTTCCGGTCAACATTGGTACATGTATACATTTATCAATAAATCCAGTAATTAATTTTAACCCATGGCTTGTTTGGGAGATTTGTCGCCCCCCCCCCCCCCGAATCAACGCTTCTGTGAACACAAAGATTAATATCAATAAAATACCCCCTAAAAGAGCTGCTTCTTTACCAACTCAGCAGAGATCTGCCTCATAGTCATCGTGTGGCTAGCTTTTTATTATTTTTATTTAAGAAACTATTTTAAGTTTTATCAGATAAACATAACATAATAACCATATTGAGAAAACAAATAGTCAGTTACATTGAAAGTTTGCAAACCACCAGTCCTGCTGATGTTCAAAGCAGTGTTCATTGAGACAATTCTGCTGGTAGCTAGTTTTGAGATGTTGTGCACAATGTAATTTCTTCCATCGGAAGCTCAAAATTATGACCACATAGTACAGTTTGGAAGCAAATCCTTAGAAAATCAACCAGCAAGAAGACATTTCCCAATACTTCTTTCCGTTCCATAGCTGTCTGCTAGGCTATACTCCTGTCTTCCCACACTTTGCTGTTCCATCGGCTCTGAGAATGGCCAGTGACCTGCTTGAGAATTAAAAGTTTGGCCAGATGTTTCCTGAGCATAAGCCAGCTTTGTATTTCCCTTTGCACATCATCTTGCAAGAGGCAGAGCTGTGATGAGTGCAGATCTGACATTGTTTCAGAAAGCTGATGGCTGGGTTGGTGGGAATATTTTTTCCCATTTGATATGTGTTGAAAAGTCAATCTTCTTTATTTCTACAGGAAAAATGCAAAAAAGAAAACCATCCCCACAAAAATAGAGACTTATCTTGAGAATCAGAGCTATGTTGCTATTGTACAAAGAGGTTACATGTAGCTATTGTGACTTAAGCAGCTGTTTTGATAGGGGTTTCCCCCCCCAACCATAGATCTTTCCAATATTTTTTCAAATCCATCAAAGTAGATAGCCATAATCATATATTTTGGTAGCAAATTCTCTTAAAGAATCATGCTGTTTAAAGAAGCATGAGACTGGGATTGCCAAAGCTTTTGGAACACAGGGCACATTTTCAAACTGGAGAAAATGCAGTGGGCGCCAGTCACAAAATGTCTCTCTTGGGGGGGCATGGCATAACACAACATGGCTGCCTTTGAGGGGGGCGGGTGGCATAACACAAAACAAGAGAGGAAATAATCATCCTGCTGACTTCAATATTGTGGAGTTCACACAACGTGGGTTTCCCAGGCATACACAATAATGCTATTGCTGTCTAATAACAAGCAGGAACATTAGTACAGTGGTAGCTCAGGTTACAGACGCTTCAGGTTACAGACTCCGCTGACCCAGAAATAGTACCTTGGGTAAAGAACTTTGCTTCAGGATGAGAACAGAAATCGTGCTCTGGCGGCGCGGCAGCAGTGGGAGGCCTCATTAGCTAAAGTGGTGCTTCAGGTTAAGAACAGTTTCAGCTTAAGAACAGACCTCCGGAACGAATTAAGTTCTTAACCTGAGGTACCACTGTACCAGGAAAAATATTCAAAGTGCCCCCCTTTTGCGCACATGCTAACCACACATATACAGAGCACAGAAACACATGCATCTCTCCCTCCTTCACTCATATACACACATTTCAGATAAACACCTCTCCCTCTCCTCCCAAACACACCTCTCCCTTTCTCACAAACCACACTCTGTACCTTCCTCCCGCTCTGTCACAAAACCCCATCGTTCCCCCTCTCTCCCAAACGATGCTCCCTCTCTCTCACAGCTGGGTGTCTGCAGGATTTTTTTTTTTTCAGGGAACGATACTTCCTTGGGGAGCAGGCAAAGGAAAACACTGAAAGGATAGAGCAGGCTGATTTCTTTTTTAAAAAAATATGGAAGAAAGGTATCAGTACTTTTGCCCTATATCACAGGTTCTAAAAATGTTAGAAGCTTACTTTTTAAAGAGAGAGAGCTGGGAATCTGAGGATTCTGGTTCATTCCAGGGGTGCCAATGAAGGCCTTTGTGGGCGCTAGGTTGGCAACCCCTGCACTAGGCTGCGTCAGCATCATTGGATGAAGCCAAAGGTCAACAACTTCTACAAGCAAAGGGGAAAACATCCCCACACAGTATTTCTTATTTCCAGTTTCTGTTGAATAAGTTTGTAAGGTTCAAAATAACCTTAGTACCATATATACACAGGGGACGCTTGTGGTGCTGTGGTCTAAACCACAGAGCCTAGGGCTTGCCGATCAGAAGGTTGGTGGTTCGAATTCCCGCAATGGGGTGAGCTCCCGTTGCTCAGTCCCAGCTCCTGCCCCCCTAGCAGTTCGAAAGCACGTCAAAGTGCAAGTAGATAAATAGGTACCACTCCGGCAGGAAGGTAAATGGCGTTTCCGTGCGCTGCTCTGGTTCGCCAGAAGCGGCTTAGTCATGCTGGCCACATGACCTGGAAGCTGTCTGTGGACAAACACCGGCTCCCTCGGCCTATAGAGTGAGATGAGTGTGAAACCCCAGAGTCGTCCATAACTGGACCTAACGGTCAGGGGTACCTTTACCTTTACTATATATACGCCAATCACCAAATAAGAGAGGAAAGGAAGGGGAATGAAGAGGGGCTCCCCTCCCTCCCTCTTTCCACACTGTTGATAAGTTCATAGCTTTTCCTCATAGGGCGACGCTTTAATTTAAACCCTTCATCATTTTACTAGAAATTACACGGACCCAGAAGTGGTGCCAAGGAATGCTGATTTAGAAACAAAAACATCATGTGCTTTCAGACTTCTGGCAGCAGCTCTAGGCAAACCAAGAGTCCAGCCAATTTATATGCACAGGCGAAACTTTCATCCTTTGCACTGACTGCTGGAACTACAAAGCCTTTGATGCATCTGATCTCAGTACAAAGGGTAGCAGACGCGTTCAAAGGCGTTTTCCTCTCTTTCAGACATAGGAAAAGGTTAACATGGGGGGGAGACATGAAATCCGATATGCTGCAGTAGGTTTTCTCGGGAATAGATTGCGCATACACGGCATGTGTGTATACACACACTTTTCATTCTGGCAGACCTGAGTGCTGAGTCTGTGGTTTCAGCTACATCTCCTGGTCAAGCTGAGGTTCGGTCGGGGAGCTATATTGTGGCCCAATTTATGATCCTTGGCTTATGTGTGGACATGTGCATTTCGAAAGAAAGGAACAACACAAGGAATGTGTGTGTGAAAAGCTCCCCACAGTTAGCTTACAGGATGGGTCATGGTGGCATCCAACATTCGAACATCATTTGCCACATTCATATGAGTATGTATCTCCACAAATATCTTCAATGAATGTGAGTCTTTGGTCTTCCTGCTCAGTTTCTGTTTGCCGTGCAGAACCGAAAGGACCCCAGACTTTATAGAGCTTTTGAGAGGAAAGGATTTGAGGTGCTTGAATCTGGTTTTGAGGGGAAACACCTTCAGAAAAGTGATGCCATCACTTGTTTGAAATGCGTCTGTGGGAAGCAAAATGCCACCAACCTGAATAAAGTGGCTGTACAAAAACTGGGAGAAATCGACACCTGGGACAGAGCCTCAGCAATGAGGAAATGCTGAAGGAAGTTGCTTGGTACAGGAATACAGTGGCCAGGAAAGAGGATCAAAGCATTAGGAAAGAGACTCAGGTAGAGTGTACGATCCAAGGGCAGCGTCATCCGCTCACCATTTGCAGAGCCCCACAGACTGGAACGGCAAGCAGTTTGGGAAATGAAAGCAGTGCGGACGCAACACTTTGCTTTTATCTGAGAAGTCACATCAGCATTCAGTTTCCTTTTTCCTGATATTATACAAGGTTTGGAAGAAGCCCAGAAAAGAAAGGAGAGGAGAGGCCAATGACTTGTCTAAAAATCGGGGTTTGCGGCGTTTCTGCTATATCATCCCATCGGTGGAGAAAATTACAATCAGCAAAAGGAAATGTGAGGTCATTGCTGAACCGAATAATCTGATCCCATTCAGTGAGCATGAGATGCATGAGAAGGGAACACACAGATGGGGGGTAGACAAGAAACCCTGCTCCTATCTCAGATAATGATGGGGTGGGAAATGCTTCATTTGTGCCCCATGGAAAGCTAGGAAAAGGAAAAGCATCTTAAAACAAAACAAACAACTCAGCCGGCTTTATCTGAACAGTGCTTAACTTTTCAATGACGCTCAGTTCAAGAGGACTCAGTTACACAGATTTTAATACTGCACAAAGTGAGACAGTGTGTCTCTCTGGGGTTTTTTTTTGGGGGGGGGAGCAATGGCACTGTAGAATCAGGATAGTTACCATTGCCTAGAGGGAAAATAATATTTATCTCATGGGGCTGTTCATTTTCCTGCAGATTATAGCTACTTATGTAATTCTTACCTGTAAGTGTGAAAAAAATCTCTTCATGATATGCAGCAGAATTAACGCTCTCTCTGTTACCCTGTCTCTCGACACACACACACACACAGAGAGACACTGAGAGAGAAAAATAGAATATATTCATCACAGTAAGGGAAATGAAATTTAGAATTATGTTTCCTGCCCCATGGGTACCAAGAGACAGTAACTGCAGCCGTATCTCAGCAGCCCTGTCGGCAGGATTAATGTCTTAGAAACAGCTGTAGGCTACCATGTGTGCTGGTTGCAGATGGCAGTCGGCAAAAGTGATGTCATAGAGAATGCTCTGCTACTTTGGTTGGTTTTTTTTTGTTTTTTTTGCTAGAGAGATTTCACCAGCTGCTGAAGGCACTTTCTAAAATGCAACAGTATGGTATGGATTTTGATAAACTCGAATGTCATCTGCTTGACATTTGAGAGCTGCTTTGAGAATACTTTGTAGCGGGTGGGGAACGAATTGAAAAAAGGGAAAAAAAAATTCCCCAGGGTACAATCAAAACCAGCGCTACCAGTGGCTTGTTTTTAAGGCTCATTGTTTTCCATTGTTGCATAGTAAAGGACAGGAATGTCCAGTGGCTGCTGAATGCCAAAAGAAATTGCACTGCCCACAGACAAAAGGTCCAGCTAGTTTACAAAGTTGCACGATGGTGTGCTTTTTTT